AAAAAAGGAAAAGAAAAGAAAGAAAGAAAAGAAAAGTGCTAATGCCCAACTGGCGCCTGAAGCTCAACGGGCGCGAGAACCAGGATATCCGGTTCTTGATCCACAGCTGCCAGCGGTCAATTGTCGCCATTGGAGAATGCTCGCGACCGCTGTTGGATGAGATACTCCCTCTCGCGTCCGAACATCCGTCCATCCTCTCTGCGTTGCTTGCATATTCCGCTCGCCTTCGCGTCTCATCTGGGGATGGGAGCGTAGCACGCACAGAAGGCTCCAAGAGGAATGCGCTCGACCGCCACCAGGAGACAATCACCAAGGTGCAGTCAATTTTGTCTCGGCTCCAGTCGGGAAATCCAGTCAATGATGGGGATGTCATGGAGGTGTTAGCTTCATGTCTCCTGCTGACGCTGTTTGGATTGCCCGAGCAAGTCCACAACTGGTCAGTGCATGTAACTGGAATGATTGCCCTCATTGAATCACTTGACGCGGAGGTTCTTCGATCGGTGCCGTCGGTGCGATATCTCCAGGCAGTAGCGGCGCATCTGGACATCTCAGCCTTTTCTCTGAACAGGCCCGAGGCCAGCCAACACAAATGGCTGGCTTGGGGAATCTGTCCTTGGCGAGGCAATACTGCAACAATAGACGAGTCTACGGAGTTTACAACATTTGAAATTTCGTCCGGTTACCCAGAGTCATTAGTGACCGTGGTCGCTCTCATTTCCGCTGTAATTGAAGGCCAGATCGACGATTATGTCGCCGCATATATAAACGACATACATCAAGAAATACATCAGACTCAAGAACAAAGGCTAGCCGAGTATGGCTCCCCACAGCAGACGGAATTCTACTGGACATTGCGAATGCATGCGATCATTGCCGGATGGGAACCTCCAATGGTGCCGCCTCGCATATCAAGCACACTGTCTCTGGCATTGACCACGGCCTGGGAAATTATTCGAAAAGCAGCACATATTTACCTCTCTCGCGGCGGGTTCGCAACCAGTATTTACATCCCCATAGCTCCTCAGCGACAGCGACTTAATCAAAGATATGTCCGCGAGATGATTGTCGGACTTCAGTCGCTGATCGCACTAGCCGAAGAACAGGAAATTACAATCGCGAACGCCATGATTTGGCCGATGACCGTGATCGGGAACGAGGTTTGCAATGACTACGCGCTGCAAGCGGAGCTGGTGAGTATGTTTGAGCGCTTGCACCGCTACTTCCGCATCGCGCACCTCATACAGGTCCTCGACCTATTCAAAGAGTTGTGGCAGCGGTTTACCATGTCTAATGCTATGCTAGCATCACCACAGTCTCCAAGGGAGCTAAGCCTGCAACTTCTGGCTGCCGAGAAGAACCTTTCAGTTCCACTGTTCTAATTTTGGATGGGAGATGTTTGGTCACCGGATCAGAATACTCAAGTCGAAGTACCCATTGCGGCAGATGCGCGTATTCGGCGCACACAAGTCCCCAATCAGGCGCTGAAGCTCGTCCCGAATCTCTGATGGCTCCTGCCAGAGCTCGTCTCCCGGACTGACCGGGTACTGCCACGCCCTCACAGCCTCATCCCTTTGCAGGGGGGTAATTCCAGTCCCTGTGCCGCACCACCGGTAGTGCATCAGCTGCTGCGTGGATATGATTCTTGCATCCGTGTTGCGGAATGCAGCCCGCGACAGACAGGTCGAGAGCAACATGCGAATCTCCCCAATGATTGGTATATCATACCGTTTGCAATGGAGTTCGACCGCGGATAACAGGTTGTGATGGTGGTCGCTTGATCGGACGAGCTTTGCAGGCACACCGTTCTCGAAGAGGGCGTGATTGCCGTTATCAGAAAAGAATTGACGAAGAGCTATTGCATGAATCGTGCTGGATTGGAGGAGGAAGACTATAGTAGCAGGCGAGAGGCTTTCCAAGTACGGATCCAGAGAGAGGACGGTGGGTAGAACCTGAGAAGTTAGTTTGTAGATTCGACTCCGGCACAACAGAACATACGTCTCCGAGGAGGAAGGAGTGTTCAAGTAGGTAGCTAAAACGGTCGGCCTTCTGATAAACAGGGTTCATAATCAGATCAACCAAGTCCCGAGTCCCATCTAGACCATGCATTAGTCTTCCACCAGTTGGGTTGCACATGGGTTCATACATACATAGGATAATAAACAGCCCGTGCATCCAGATCATCGCCTCGGCTTCGTAGACATACGTCAAATCGTCGAACCGCAGCAATGCTGGGGGAAACCGAAAAAAGTAGTCGCATAGGTCGTTTCTGACGACAGCCCATGCCCGACTACCAAATAAGGGCGCTTCAATAACCGCTCGCATGCAGCTAAGGAATGATTAATAACCGGAATCCAGATGTGCAAAGGACGAGGGGGGGGGCTATAGCTAGCTACTTGACTAGGGGATGCATCAGGACAAAATAACTGTCCGCCTCAAGTGTCCACGGCTCTGCCGGGACGGAATTAAAAGACGAGGAAACATGCCAGATATTGTCAGCAACCTGGGATTTGGTGAAGACTTGGAATTGGCAGCTCGGTTTCCTTTGATTGTGCAGCAACGCCAATATGCTGGTGATTCCATATTTATGAGCGACGTGCCGAGGGAGCGAAGGCGATCATAACTTACGCGTCTTGAATATATAGAGACATCTCAGTGCTAGCGCAGATGAGCTATTGGTTTCGAATTCTGTTTCTGGCGGAACTCACCGTCGAGTCAATTCGTTCCAGTCATTATCTTGGCTGGGTATTTTCGAAATGTCTTCCAGTATGATGTGAGAGAGCGAATGCCATCGGATGGCAATATCAGAAAACTCCGCGCTCAAGCACCAGGTGTAGCTGAAGAGAAGTAAGAGAAGAGCATTCCCTAGTTGCAATTGATGGCTTTTCCAGGTCAGACACGGGGTCTCGGCGAGCGCACTCCTCTGGAGGTGGCCTCGGCTCACGTCCAGAGAACCTGCGACAGTCTCCGGAAGACGATAGCGATATAGATCCAGAGCTATTGCCAGTAGCGCGTTTTGTAATTCCCTATTCAAAATCTGGCACACGGAGAAGTCGTTGCCGGTCTCGGTGTCGGCGTGAAGACTATCTGGCAGCAACCCGAAAATGCCCAGTTTCCTCGAAGAGGATAAAATCCACTGAAGAAGGCTGTTAATGAGACTCGGATCCAGTAGGATGCTGGAGATATCGTGGGAATTGGTTGCTGCCGCTGGCGAGACATTCGCGGGGGACACAGATGATAAGATCGTCCGGCCACTAGATTGAGATTCGGGCTCTACGGACGGCTCGCGGACAGTAGCCCTGCCCTGCCGGGAGGATACTGATTTCCTCGGGCGTCCCTTTGCTCGCACGGGGCGCTCAGTGAGGCAGGGGAGTTGCAAGCGGCGACAACGGGCGCATGGACTCTGAGAATCGCATTGTGTCTTCTACCCGTGCATTGCATTAGCACCAAGTCCTCGCCGGAGAGGGAGTGGAGTGATCTACCAAGGCCCAGCAGCGATCGCAAGCCCTGGACGACATCGTGATGAGGTGGTTGCACTGGACAGGAGGGCGAAAAGGTAGAAGAAAGGAATGTCTACCACGTAGGGGGCAGATAGTTCCATTAGCATGCCCCACTTGTACCCATAGATAAATTAGTTGTGGTAGAAAAGGATCAAAACTCGCCGGCGGCATATTTCCACCATACCAGCACATTGTAGCAAGGGTACGTATATCCATCATGTAGTAGCCCTTTCCTTTAAGTCTCTGGTCTCATCACCATCTTCCTCCCCTTACCTCGTATCTATCTACTGACACCATGTCGTCGGACGAACCGCCCCTCTGGGAACAACGCGCTGCCCAGAAACGGGCTTCCCGAGATGCTGAAATTCGCAAATGGCAGCGCGCGCCAGTCGCTGACCTGAAGCCCGACGAAACATACGTAAAAGACGTTCCTCTTCGTTGTGGTCTCCTGACCGAGGAGCAATTGCGGATCACAGAGTCAACTCCTAGTCAACTGCTGTCCAACGTCTCGAGAGGCCACTGGTCCGCCCAAGTTGTCCTTCGAGCTTACATCGCCCGAGCAACAATTGCGCACTACCTCACCAATCCACTGAGCGAGATTTTTTTCGAACGTGCCGTGGCCAGGGCCCGGGAACTGGATGACATTTTGAAGGCTACTGGAAGGACCGTCGGCCCTCTCCACGGCCTCCCAATCAGTTTAAAAGATGTCATGAACGTCGCAGGACAAGAAACAACGCTGGGGTTTGTAGCCACAATTGGTCAGATCCCTGAGCACGAAGACCGACTAGTCACAAAGCTTCACGAGGCGGGTGCCGTGCTCTATTGCAAAACAAATGTCCCCCAGACATTGATGTCGGGCGAGTGTGTGAACTTCGTGTTTGGTCGCACATCGACTCCTTATAACATACGACTAACCGCAGGCGGTTCAAGTGGTGGTGAAGGATCGCTGATCGCCCTAGGGGGCAGTCCCCTAGGCATTGGTAGCGACATTGCGGGATCAATACGCACGCCGGCTAACTTCAATGGCATTTACGGACTCTGTCCTTCTCCAAATCGCTTTCCGGAGCATTCGGCCGAGAACTCAGACGGCCATATGACCATCCAAGGTGTAGCAGGCCCCATGTCTCGCAGCGTTGACGGATTGGAAGTTTACACGCGAACACTCTTAGGTCTGCGCCCGTGGGAGTGGGACTTTAGCAGCGCTCGAATTCCATGGAGGGAGGATGAATACCAGGAGGGACTGGGCAATGTGCACCCTCTTTGCTTTGCATTTCTGCCGCATGATTCAGTCGTGCTTCCTAACCCTCCCATTCTACGGGGCATGAGGGAGATGAAGGAGGCTCTTATTCGCGCGGGCCATCAAGTCATTGACATTGACCCCTGGGATGGCCGTGAGCTTATAGAAGTCGCATTCCTAAATTTCTTTGCAACCGGCGGCGAGGAAGTTCGGAAGATACTCAGTGTGTTGGATGAGCCTCTCATTGCAGAGGTTACTCCTCTTGAAGCAATGACTACCCTGTCGGTGGCGCAGTATAAGTCTGCCGCAGTCAAGGTCAAGTTGCTTCGTCAGAAGTATATAGACGTCTGGCAGGCCACCGCATCGAAGACCGTCTCAGGCCTGCCGGTGGATGCCATAATTCTTCCCTCCGGCGGTACCGTGGCTCCTCCTCATGGCAAGATGGAGTATTTCACCTACGAGGCCATCTCCAATGTACTTGAATGGACCTGTGCCACTGTGCCCGTGACCCAGGTAGACCCTGTCTTAGATGCCAAACCACGGAGCCATTTCGAGCCCATGTCAGACTATGACCAGCGGAATTGGGATACATGTAAGGACATACCTACAAACATGCGGATTGCCTCCCTTTTCCGATACGATGCTAACCTCTCAATAGACACCCCAGAGACGTACAGAGATGGCCCGGTGTGCTTGCAGGTTATGGGAAGGAGATTTGAGGAGGAGAAAGTGCTGGGGCTACTACGGACAATCGACAAGGCCTTAGGAAGAGATGAATTTTACATGTCATGAACCTTAGTTTACATCAAATCTTGCAGAACGTATACTTGAAGACCTAATAACTACATCACAACGCATCCCATCCCTGATGGCCCCTGATCCTCTAATGTCTCCCCTTTCTTGAATGTGGGCTGAGGCGCATCTGTCTCCGACCGGTTCTTAATATCGAACGGTGGGTATCGCCACTGTACGAAATGGTCAATCCAGCCAGGCACCCGGACGACCGTGCGGTTGTGGCTGAAGGTATCGAATCCCCATTTTCCATGGTAAGCGCCGTAGCCGGAGTCCCCTACGCCGCCGAAAGGCGCCGACGGGACGTCCGCATGGATAGCAACGTCGTTGATAGTGACGCCCCCAGAGTTGGTGGAGTTGAGGATGATGTCAATTTCGGTAGAGTCATTCGAGAAAATATACAGACCCAGTGGATATGGACTGCTGCGCAGGATATCTAGCACCTCTGGGACCGTTATTTTCACGACCGGCAAGACAGGGCCAAAGAGCTCTTCTGAAAGAAGCGAGTCTTCAGGCTTCACGTCTGTGACGATGGTTGGAAAGATAAGTCTTTCCTTGCGCGAATGGGGCCCCTCAAACACCTTGTTGCCCTCCGTGCGTTCCAGCAGGTCATGGAGTCGGTCATACTGTCGCTCACCGACCATCCGCGCAAGTCCATCCAACCCGTCACCCTTGGAGAACTGTTCGGTCCAGTAGATCAGACGCGCGACGAGCTGGTCGTGGACTTCGGGATCCACGTAGATATGATTGACACAAACACAGATCTGGCCGAGGTTGGTCAGTTTGGCAGCCACCAACCGCTTCGCGGTGACCTCAATATCTGCTGATTTGGTGACAATTGCTGGTGCCTGTCCGCCGAGCTCGAGAGCTGTAGGGGTGACGTGTTTCGCAGCGGCTTCGGCGATGATGCGACCGACGCGCGTGCTGCCGGTGTAGAAAATGAAATCGAACTTGTATTCCAAGATTCTGCCCATGGCCGCTGGATCCGCGCGGATGAGTGCGAGCGCTGATGTGTCGAGGTATGTTGGTACTAATTCGCTCAGCAGCACCTCCGTGTGTCGGGCTATTTCCGACGGTTTGAGTATGACGCAGTTTCCTGCTGCAATGGCAGCGGCAGCCACGGAGAGTAGCGTTGAGAGAGGGTAATTCCAAGCTCCGATGACGAGGACAACTCCCCTAGGCTCCTTTCGAATCCAGGCCTTGCCGACGTATCGGAAAAAGAGACCTGCTTCGGGAGGCGGAGCACCCTGAGACCAGGTATCTACGTTCTTGAGCATTGTTAGGATGGTGTTCTTCACATCGCCTACGTCGTAGGAGAGTGACTCAAAGGCGTGTCGGTGCAGGTCAGCGGCCATGGCTTTGACAAGAGCATCCTCATTCTCGTCAAGTAGCCAAAACAGCTGTTTCAACTGCCACTTGCGCCATCGAACATCTCGCGTTCGGTTATTGGCGAAGGTGGCGCGCAGCTTCTGGTGAAGCGAGCGAAATTCGTCATCAGTGATGAAATTCGACATGGTGGGCGGTTACAATGAGTGTTGATGCCCAGAGCAACTGCAGGCTACCAGCACAGGAATTTATGAGCTGATAATTGACTCGAAACTGAATGAATGAGAAGCATCTACATACCTAGAAGCCTAGGCACGATAGACGTGGAAGAACCCACCGACGGCTATTTACACAAACCCTCAGACTATACGAGGCCAAGCTTCATCCCACAGGGTATACTATTCCGCTCGAAGCAACTAGTAGCGTGTTCCTGGGGGTGAGATTGCTGAAAAGAGACCGACGGTGAGTTCTATATCTCGTAGCTAGTCTCCATCTTCCCCACAGCGTCCACCCCCGGAATCCGCGGGCGCCAGCCTTAAGTCTATTGATCAGGCAAATAGGTTGAGGCTGCGTTAAAATTTTATTGAAAGAAGCCCGTAAGTCAAGAATATTCAGGGAAATCAAGATTGAATTATCATTGACTTTACTATGACTACCTGGCCCTCCGATAGCGTCTGGTCCCCCCGGACACACAACGAACAAGTCTATGCTCGTGCCCCCAACCCAGCTGAGTTCCCAGAGATCCCGGCTATCTCCAAGAGCTACTGGATTCGTGAGCACCGCATCGACTTCGAAGAAGAATGTGCGCGGACCTCGCTCCCTACTAAAGTCGACGTCGTCATTATCGGATCTGGGATCACCGGTGCAACGGTGGCGTACCAAATCTCGCGCTCGCAGCCTGATCTGTGTGTCGCTCTGATTGAGTCCCGGGGCCTCTGCACGGGCGCCACAGGGCGCAATGGAGGACATATTGGACGACCAGAGGTGTATCACTTCCGGGAGTTAGCTGAGGAAGTTGGTGTCAAGGAAGCCTTGAAGCTGAAGAAGTTTGGGCAGAAAAATCGGAATATGATGATTGAAACAATTAATGAACTTGATGCTGTGGCCGAGGTGGACCTACGGCTCAATGGGACCATTGTGGTGTTTGAGACGGCCGAGGAAAAGGAGGAGTTTGTGGCAGATTTGGAGTCAGCCAAACAGCACGGCCATGAGCCGGAGGGCTACTTGATGAAGGAGACAAGTGAAGTTTTATCTGTGAGATCGTCTCCCTTGACAGCTACTATATCTATAGACACTGATCACAGTGCGAGTCTAGAAAGTCACAATCAATGAATCCAAGGCCCAATATGGAGCAGCATACCTGGAAGTATCTGGGACTGTTTATCCTCGAAAACTTGTGGGGGTGCTACTAAAGGCTGCTCTAAAGCGCATGTCTGCGTTGACTATCCATGCCTATACACCGGCGTCGTCAGTAGTCAGTGACTTTACAGCAGAGAGGTATCACTATACCGTCTCGACAAACCGCGGCGAGATCAAAGCTCGTGCCGTATTCCATGCGACAAATGGCTACGCTAGCCATCTTCTCCCTTCCCTATGTGGTAAAGACGGCGTTTACGGCTGTAAAGCACACATGCTGGGCGTCCAACCCAACAAGGCCGCGCCAGATACTTGCCAACTGTCGCGAGGATTCGGATACCAAGATTTCTGGCACTGGATCTTGCAACGACCAAATCACGGACCTTATCTGTACGGCCTTGCAACCGCCGAGGTGGTCGGGGACTATAATGACAATATTACACTCCCTGAGAATAACCAGCACAGAAGGGAGATGGTTCAATTCCTTGAAACCGTTTTCCCGCACCACTTTGAGGATATTGATGTCAAGCGAGACGTTGCCTATGACTGGACTGGAATTCAAGGATTTACCAAAGATGGAGCTAGCATTGTCGGGAGACCGACCAAAGAAAGTCCAGGCGAATACGTATCGGTGGGACACAATGGCGAGGGCATGGGCAGGTGCTTTGCCTGTGCTACGGTAGCAACTGATGCCATGCTGAGCTATTTGAAGGAAAATAAATCATGGACGCCGCCTGAGTGGTTTCCAATATCGTTCGCTAGGAATTTGGGTTCTGGGGATTTATAGTATGTGTACTTTTCCATGTTGTTGTCCACTCGCGTATCACCTTTTAGTCGTGCAGATTGCATGAATTAAAAGGCTCAATATTCTCTGATTAGTGTTGGGTAGTAAGTAAGATACTGACGATGAAAGGTATATGCCGTTGTTGATTATGTTCTATAATCCCTACATGTATCACCTCGCAGCTTCCGTTTGTCCATAGCTAGGTGAAAGTAGCCATATATGGTTGTATATGGGGAGAGCATGGAAGGTCACTCTTCGCACCCTGCGCCTGAGTAGTGACTAAGCGCAAGACTCACACGCTGGGGGCGCATCGTGTATGTAAGCGTAGAGAGAGAGAGAGAGAGAGAGAGAGAGAGAGAGAGTACAGTAAGAAGTTTCTGAATGAGTTGGAGAACATGTCTCAACTACGTAGCATAGCTGATATCAGGCCCATGTTGCGTATATCCTCAAATAAAGATTTTCAAGGGTAAAGCTGCCATAAAATAAAACTCTTGAGATAAATGAAACTGAGAGCGTGCTTTTATGTGCGGATATTTATAAGTCATCTCTCGGAATCATCTACACATATCTACCAAAAATATGACAACATACTCTTGCGAAGCAGACAGGAGCAAGAACTTCCACATATTTTAGTAGCACTAGCTTCTGCTAGTTGTAATTAATATAGGGCTTCTCATATCGGGAACAGGTACGATACAAATAAAGACTTCATGAGCCCCTTCTGTACTATCAAGTCTGCTAAAAATGAAGTGCGTCTTAAATGCCCCTCAGCGACACCAAGCTGACTCCGGTACATGTATGAACCTTACCTTGGACAAGACAAAATCGGCCCTTCTAGGTCATCCCACAGGATCAGGAGTAGCCAGTTGGGAGGTAGGAAACCGAGACTTACTTGAGAAGCACCGACGGCCTTTTTGGAATGGATCTTCAGTTCGCTATGAGCAATAGCAGCTGGCTCCACCAAACGACGAGGTCTGAGCGATAAGGAAAATGGCCGACGGTGGTTTTACATCTTCGTTTGACTCCGCCCTAAACCCCACTATTTACCGGTTTACTGAACGCTCGCTCCCCTCCACTTGACAGGGGTCAAGCGTCACAGACCCTGTCCTAGGCATCCATAGCCAGCCCTCAGAACGCAAGGAGATTTACAAGTCAGTACGTCAATACGTAGACGAAAATAATGGCCGGTGGTGAGTTCCGAGGTTAGGTCCAAAGATCAATCAACGTGGTCTCAAACTCTGTCAAGGTAAGCTTCATGGGTGTTAAAAACTGCTTTTAATGGTGCATGAGCTTCATGAATGCCTCCCATGTTCCGGCTCTGTGCCATTACCTCACTACCCTATTATTGAAATGCGCTGTCTTCTAAAAATGCGACAGGATGACAACGAAAAGCAGATATGTCCGATCCCAGGACCTCGAGGTTAGCGAGCATGCTTCTCATGCAGTGAGAAAGAACTAATGACCGTTCTAGGTCTACCATTCCTCGGGAATATCCTGGACATCGATCTAGACAATGGCACAATGTCCACGCTTGAGATTGCGAAAACATACTGTGCGTGCTCTATTTCAAGAAGTAGATCATAATATAGAAGTGGTAACACTTTGCCCTGTTCAAAGACCCTATTTTCAAATTCACCTTTGCGGGAGAGACATCCATTGTCATAAACAGCGTGGCTCTGCTCTCTGAAGTCTGCGATGAAGCCCGATTTCATAAGCATGTCTCCTTTGGCCTCGAGCTACTCCGGTCCGGCACACATGACGGGTTATTTACTGCGTATGATCATGAGAAGAACTGGGAGCTTGCGCATCGGCTGTTAGTGCCAGCCTTTGGTCCATTACGAATCCGTGAAATGTTTCCACAAATGCATGATATCGCGCAACAGCTATGTCTCAAATGGTACAACACCCTTTTAACCGCCGCTCAGATGCTTTTTTGGCTAAGGAGTTCTTGGTTGTTAGGCAACGCTATGGTCCAAGGAGGCCCTTGAATCTAGTTGACGATTTCACTCGCGCAACTCTTGATACAATTGCGTTATGTGCAATGGGTTACCGATTCAACAGCTTCTATTCTGAAGGCGACTTTCATCCCTTTATCAAGAGTATGATCGGATTCCTGAAAGAGGCAGAAACGCAAGCAACCCTGCCTTCATTTATCAGCAGCCTTCGTTTTCGTGCGAAGAAGCGGACTCAACTGGATATTGATCGTATGCGCACCGTGTGTCACGAGATTGTTAACGAGCGTCGACAGACGAACCTTGGTCGCAAGAATGACCTACTTGAGACAATGCTGACCTCTCGAGACAGCTTATCTGGGGATACGTTAAGCGACGAATCGATCATCAATAATATGCTGACCTTTCTGGTCGCTGGCCACGAGACTACTTCAGGGCTCCTGTCATTTGCGATGTACTACCTGTTGACAACGCCTGATGCCATGGCTAGGGCAACTCATGAGGTAGACGATGTCGTTGGCGATCACGAGCTCACGATTGAACACCTCTCAAAACTCAAATATCTTAATGCTATTCTTCGTGAGACCCTACGATTAATGCCCACCGCACCCGGGTTTAGCGTTACGCCGTATAAACCAGAGGTAATTGGGGGCAAATATGAGGTCAAGCCAGGAGACTCACTGGATGTGTTCCTCGCGGCTGTGCATCGAGATCCTGCCGTATACGGGTCCGACGTCGACGAGTTCCGCCCGGAAAGGATGTTGGATGAACACTTCAAGAAGCTTCCGGCAAACTCGTGGAAGCCCTTTGGAAATGGTAAAAGGAGTTGTATTGGGCGGGCTTTTGCGTGGCAGGAGGCACTGATGGTCAGTCGGTTCTATATTGGCTTTCTACCAACCGTTCATATCATATACTGAGGCAACCACAACATATAGATCCTGGCCTTGATTCTGCAGAATTTTAGATTCAATTTGGTTGACGAGGACTATGCTTTAAAAATCAAAGAGTCACTCACTATAAAACCAGATAACCTGTGGGCCTATGCGACACCACGACCGAGCCGAAACATGCTTCACGCCCGATTGTCGCCCCAAACGAAAAGTGCACATCCGGAGGGGGTCGTGTGTTTGAAGCATGAGGCAGTAGAATCCCAGCCAGCAACCATTCTGTATGGCTCAAACAGTGGAACTTGCGAGGCCCTGGCCCATCGATTGGCTACCGAAATGAGTAGCAAGGGCCCATTCGTCTGCAAAGTACAACCTTTGGACGCGCTCGAGCACCGCCGACTACCCCGAGGCCAACCCATGATAATCCTCACTGGGTCATACGACGGGAGGCCGCCTGAAAACGCACGGCAATTTGTCAATTGGCTCCATTCCCTGGAGGGGAATGATCTGGAAGGGATCCAGTACGCCGTCTTTGGAAGCGGTAAACTCATCATTTTGTTTTTCCATATAGGTAATTATTAACCGGTTTGCCAGGACACCACGACTGGTCGACCACCTTCTATAAAATTCCCAACCTCATAGATGTCATCATGGCAGAACATGGTGGAGCTCGTCTAGCCCCACGAGGGTCGGCGGATACCGCAGAAGATGACCCCTTCGCTGAGTTAGAGTCATGGATGGAAACGAACCTCTGGCCTGGCCTTGAGGCTGCGTTCAGCTTTAAGCACCCCGGCTCATCAGATGAGACTGGGAATAGCACCAGGATAACCATTCGATCACCCTACCCGTTGCGCGCGGTTTACGAAACAGCTGTCATTGATCAAGTTCGCGTGTTGACATCCGCGGGAACCACCAAGAAAGTCCATGTTGAGCTTGCCCTGCCCGAAACAGTCCACTACCATCCTGGTGATCATCTAGCTGTTTTGCCCCTTAACCCTCGACGGAGTGTGCAGCGGGTGCTTTCACTTTTCCAAATAGGTTCGGATACTATCTTGTATATTACATCTAGTGGTACTACCTCCTTGCCGACAGATACTCCCATATCTGCCCACGACCTGCTCAGCGGCTACGTGGAATTGAATCAAGTGGCGACGCCTGCTGTACGTACCTTTAGGTCTTGCACATTACTGATATAACGAACTGACCTTTCTTCAACAGAGCCTGAGATCCTTGGCTACGAAAGCTACCGATGAGAAAACTGCACAGCATCTTAAAGCCCTCGCTTCAGATCAATATACAACGGAAGTCCGGGAAAAACAGTTATCCCTTTTGGATATATTAGAACGCTATGCCGTACCATCAATTGAGATTCAGCATTATATCCAGATGTTGTCACCCCTTCGTCCCCGCCAATACACCATTTCCTCGTCTCCGCGGATGAACCGTACTCGGGCTTCGTTAACTGTTTCTGTCGTAGAGAGAGCAGAAATTGGCGGGCCTAGAAACTGCGCTGGAGTAGCATCAAACTACCTAATGAGCTGTATACCCGGGTCCATCCTCCGAGTATCTCTACGGCATGCCAATCCCGACTTCCGACTCCCAGATGAGTCACTCTCTCACCCCATCATCATGGTTGCCGCTGGATCAGGCATTGCACCCTTCCGCGCATTTGTCCAGGAAAGATCCATCCGACAGAAGGAGGGAATCATCTTAGCCCCAGCCTTCCTATTTTTCGGTTGCAGGGGCGCTCACTTGGACGACCTCTATCGCGAGGAGTTAGATGGTTTCGAGGAACAGGGAGTGGTGACCCTCTTTAGAGCCTTTAGCAGGGCTCAGAATGAGAGTCATGGCTGTAAATACGTTCAAGATCTGCTATGGATGGAAAGAGTGAAGGTGAAGGCGCTTTGGGAGCAGGATGCTAAAGTCTTCGTGTGCGGCAGCGTTAGAATGAATGAAGGGGTGAAGGCAACGGTTTCAAAGATTGTTTCTCCTACGCCGACAGAAGAAGTGGCGCGGCGATATGTGGCGGAGACTTTTACATGACTTGAGTCTGGTCTATTGCCGGTGACGTCCTGGCGCAGTGGACTGAGAGAATATTAGGTGTATACATTTACTTTCTTTTGGAGTAATAGTTCTGCAAAAGACTAATGTAGATATATTCTGATGCCGATGTAGAGCTCTTTGTGATGCCTTAGAAATTCCGCAGCTTGAGAAGGATATTCGCTGATGTGCAGAAATGGTATATATTTGTACTATTCTACTATCCCTTTTATAGATCATCAACTACCGTTTCCTCCTCCTTTGCTTTGTCGAACCAAAATATTATCCAATTATGCAGTCTCGCTGTTTCTACGCAGTCGGAGATACACCATCGAGACTCTCCCTACGAGTTGAACTAGCTTTGCTAGACAGCTTTGATTCTCCGCACTTCGGTTGGCGCCAGGGTCCCTGCAGCGACGAAATAAATATCGGAAATATCGCCCGGCTCCCTTCTTTACTATGCCTGAGTAGTGCAATCGCTTGGCTCGGTTACTTCCGGTTGAGGAGTGCCGTCGGCACGGGTGGGGGAAAGAAGATACAAGCGTTGCCGGCGGGGAATACGACCATAGCCAACCCCCGGTAGGCATGGTACGCTCGCGGTAGGTCATTGAAGATGATATACTTTAAATATACGAATCCCATTCTCGAGGTTATGTACTTTTTGGAAATCTAGTGTCTCCATCCTGTCTTTCGTATGCAGTCCAACTCGTATCAGGAACACCGGTAAGCAATGAAGCACACAACCCTTGAATGGTTCGGTTAGTTAGAATTGCTGGTGTGTTCTTCATTAGCTGACTATAACCAAAAAGGGGCGACGACGTTTCGGCTTCGGATCAGAGGAGTTACGATCTTCCTGGATACATGGCTAGATAGGCCTTCAGTCCAGCCGGTATACCTGGCAGTTGACCAAGTGACAGACGCAGACTACATCTTCATATCCCACGCACATTTTGATCAGTAGGTGCCCTCCCCCCCCCCCCCACCAATGCCACAAGCCTAGTCAGATTAATATCCGCAATGCACTTATCACCACCACTAGCCTTCCTGGAGCGGATCGAATTGCAATAAACACTGGCGCTACTGTAATAGCGAACGGCGAAGCGATCAATTGTCTCAGACATGCCGGTGTTCCTGAAGAGCAGCTGCTGCCCGTCTCCGGTGGTGAGCGGATTCCTCTCTTTACGCGTGAAATAAGAAACAAGGCCAAGGATGACGTAGCCCTGAGAGCCCCTGGTCCGCCTGGTGGCCCTGTATTCCCAGTGCATGAACTCGCTGCGTTGTCTGTAGAAGTCTGGCCTTCTCTGCACTGCCTAATGCCGCCGAGTCACCCGAAGATAATCAATACTGGGACCGTCTATACCGGCGCAGCAACCCCCTTTACCTGCACCTTGGATATCACGCTGGGGATGAAACACGGGCTTCTGAAGTTGGGTGAACTTATGCCAGTGGAAAAGCAAAGCGAAGGGCAACGAGCTTTTATTGAGTATGTCAGCGACCGGAAACGCAATGTATTCTCTCATTATGATGGGGGGCAGTTGATGTACAACTTTCTCATCGACGGCAAAGCGTTGCTTTGGAGTGCCCATCTGGGCGGTTATGAGGGTATCCTAAAAGCCCTCAAACCCAAACCAGATGTGGCCATTCTAGGAATTGCCGGTCGAGCAAACCTAAGTGGGAAACCCTTCGATGGATCCGCAGCCGAGTTTGCGGTAAAAGAGATTCAATGGCTCGAGAGCCCTTCCCAAGTGATATGGTGCTTGCATGACGAAAGGTAACATGGCAGCATAGATTTTAAGATAACCAGCAGACTGACTGTCCTTAGCTGCATTCCACCATACAGAATCGACACGTTGGCTGCCACTGCGGCAGTTGAGAAGGAAACGGAGTCAAAGGTCTTGGATTTAAAACATGCCGAGGTTTGTAGGTTGGACCTGTAGGTTAGCCAACGAATAGATTAGCAAGAAATCACATTTCTATTCCTTGAACCGACTCAACGGACGTAGATACGTAGCAAGTTGGCGTCCGCTTCCTTTGCTGTTCAAAGCCTGCAGTACTAAGCTCGGCTTTGCCAATCTGTCAAGGACCCTGTGAAATGGACATAGATGGACTATCAACAGGTGCACTAATTAATCATAAGCGCGTATTTTGTCATTATGAGCCACCGAAACTCCTTGATAGTTTTACAGTAGCCGGACGCGGAACAATGGCCATGAGGCGCTATGATACAGGATTACAGGCGACCTCAGACCGACTAGCGTCATTCAAAATTACAGACGCACGACAAGGGCACGCTCAAGAGTCACATACCGCCATTTACTGATGACCCAAACGAGTACTTGTGCCTTGCAGGGCTACGGAATCAAGAAGTCTGTATCCGGCACGGCTCCGGCGGGAGAGGGTTTGATATGTATAACCGGACCTGCGCCGGTGACTACTATCATTCGAATGCACCAGTAGTAATTCATTTCGCCAGAGCTGTTATTTTACCCGGACCCGCTCCTACTGCCAGTGTTTCCGGACAAGTTCCGGCCAATCGGAATCAAAGGGCCCCCCACATGAGCCCTGAGTGTATGTACCTGTACATGGTGTATAACGAAGCTCATCCAGCCTGTGGATGTACGGCTGGCTGGGAGATCAGTTCTCATAGATATGCAATTACCTCTCAGTTATTTCCTACCTTTCCAGCTCTTCTCAAAACCGAGCACAAGATCCTCGCGGTCAAATTCAAATCCTACGTTGCATAGTTGGTCCAAACATGGCGGAAGGTCCAACCAGTTCTCAACCGCCCGAGAAATCAGACATAGGTATTTCCACGGAAACTCCAATCATCCAACAAGGCACAACGCACTCTGATTTTCCAGAGGGAGGACGACAGGCATGGCTCGTGGTCTTTGGATCATGGTGTGCTTTGTTTTCTACATTTGGTCTTGTTACCTGCATAGGCGTGTTCCTGGAGTACTACAAGAATGGACCACTAGCAAACTACACTGCCAGTCAAATAAGTTGGATCACAAGTGTACAAGTGTTTCTCCAGGTCGGAAGCTCGATATTGGTGAGTTATCTTGAATGTTGCTGACTCCTCTGCTACAATTTTTCTTATCAATATACTGAACTAAAACAGTGGGGACGTTTGTATGACTCGTATGGTCCTAGATGGCTATTTCTACTTGGAACGCCTCTCCATTGCTTCGGGCTGATGATGACATCTCTGTCGAGGCAGTATTATCAAATCTTTATCTCTCAGGCCATTTTAAGTTCTATCGGATCCGGGACTATCTTCAATGCAAGCCTGACCTCCACAACGGCCTGGTTCTACAAGCGCCGAGGTATGGTTTTCGGCATTGTGAACTCCGGATCGTCCCTCGCGAGAGTTGTCTTGCCTATTATGATGACCCGGTTATTCCAATCGATTGGGTTCAGGTGGACTCTCCGTGTCCTCGGCTTCATGTTCTTGGCTCTCTGTAGTATAGCATGCGCCACGGTGAAGACTCGATTGCCACCTAATCGGCGTCCAATCTCCGTTACGGACTATATCCGGCCTCTAAGGGAACTGAAGATGATATTGACTGTGCTTGGAGGGTTTTTATACTTCTGGGGAATGTTCTTCCGTTGAATTATATCATTATTCAGGCGCAGGCGAATGGGATATCACCCACGCTCGTCCCTTACCTTCTACCGATTATTAACGCAGTCAGCCTCATCGGTCGACTACTTATGGGAGTCGCCGCCGACCTTTTCGGGCGGTTCAACTGCATCATCGCCATCACAGCAATGTCTGGAATCATGACATTGGCTCTATGGATCCCGGGAAGCACGAGTACAGCAGCGGTGATCATTTATGCCGTATGCTTCGGGCTTGGATCGGGTGGCTATGTGACACTCTTCCCGTCATGCGTGACTCAAATCAGTGATTTTGAAGAGATTGGAACGAGGCTCGGGATTGCGCAATTAATCAATGCCTTTGGTGCTTTGACCGGCTCTCCACTTGGCGGCGCCCTGATCCGTGGCCAGGGCAGTGACACCGATTTTCTTGGTCTTCAGGTCTTCTGCGGCGTGACTATGATTGCTTCTGCTGTAGTATTCGGCGCCGCGCGATATAGCCAGGTTGGAATGCAAATAGTGAAGGTCTGATGTATGTAGAAAACAATTCTCTGCCAGATCGCTAGCATGCTAAAGAGTCCGTCTCTTCCTAAGGACATCACGGGTTTAAAATGTCAGCTTAACTGGGTACATTTAGCTTGTACAAACGGGGACCTGACTTGTCTGTCCAAGCATTACACTAAAGCTTCTGAAAAACACGTAGAATCGCATCCGTTGCTCGCCCTTTACCCATCACTCGGTGACAGTATATTGTTTCCCCCCCCCCACCGTTCAGCTACCTACTACAAACCTCTGGGTCCTCCTCCGGATCTGTGTACCAAAGATGTAGATGAAGATACCGATAACCATCAGCGCGCCCATGATCCCCGCAAAAATGTTGAAGGCGCCGTCATAGCCCATTTTATCCACGAATGCAATAGGCCCGTAAGAAATGCCAAACCCGATGAAGCCACGACACGAGCAGATCAACACAAGAGTACCATCAACGCGTTGCGGATATCTGTGATCTTTCAGCAAGGTAGACTTTTTTTGACATCATGCATCCATCTGACGTACGCATCCATGCAGTAGACAAAGGAAGAAACAACAATGCCCACGAAGCCAAAGTACTCGAAATTCAGAGTGACCGCAATGCCCGCCCAGGTCCATTTATCAGGATGTTCAGCCGTTTTGCCATAAATTATGGTAGAGAGTAAGATTGCAACCGTGGGAAGAATGACCACAAGAAGACGGTATTCCGGCTAGTCCATATGAACACACGGCGACGGTTACGGGTAGCTTGGTTGAAGACACAACTTACCTCACTGACGCCGTTGTTTCTCTTAGCAATTTTGTGATCTGATCACTGAAGTAACCGCAGACAATAGGTACAGCTACCGCGGTAGCAATCTGACCCGTAAAGACATAGCCAAGAGTGTTGAATCCCCACAGAAACAGCGGCTTCACGAGCACTTCTGCAAAGAGCGCCGACATGAGGACATATATACCAAGACCAACAGAATTCCTTACTCATTGTCAGTGCCAGGATTCCTATTGCGGTGCGGTACGGGGTGCCAACTCACAGCAAGATGAGCCAAAGAACGTTGGGAAAGAGAATGACCTGACACATCTGTTTACAACAATCAATAGTGAGAGACCATTCCGCGTTTCCTGACTAGGGTGCCATGTCTCGGAAGAAGCTGCGTAAGCGATAGTTGACGACATCAATCTCACGGGTTGTACGTGTCGTCACAGGAACCAGAACGCCGTTCACTTCGATCCCCTCGCCATTTAGGGCTGCCATGGACCGGGCATACTTGGTCTCTTTAACAAATATGATGCTGAGAACAGTGATGGCCCCGCTGACGCATCCAAAAATACCATACCACCACCTCCACCCAAGGTGGGAATCAGACGCAATGTACGGACTCGCAATTATCAAGGCAGCGGTTCCGACAGTCTGTAGCGCAGAGAATGCCGCAACAGCCTTGCCCCGCTGGTGCAGAAAGAAAATCTCTTGGACAATGATGGGGAAAAGTGCTTCGCATGTGCCGGCGGCGATGGACATAATATCTCGACCTGCTATGTGCGACTCGAGGCTTTCACTCTTAGCACACCACAGGCAGCCAAAAGCCAGCAGAATGGAGGAAAACAAGTATATAGGCCTTCTTCCAATGCCGTAGGACAGTGGTATTGCGATGAGATTCCCAATACCCATGAAAAACGCCGGCCAAGTGATCAGGTCGTTCGTTTTGGGGCCGCCATCGTACGAGCTTTAACCGCGGGTAGGAATGAACTCATACCACTGGGCATCAGGTTTCCTGTCGCCGCAACAATTCCAACAATAAACAGGATGACATACTTTTGCTATACCGGTAGGTTCAAAGGGTCTGTACGATTGGTGTTAGAGGAGCGGAGAAAGCATGGGAACAGTTTTGGTAAACAACTTCCCATTTGGATCATTTGATGGAGTAGGTACGAGGACCACTTCAGAGTCATTGATGAGCTTGGTGCTGCCAACAACGGGGTTGGAGACGTTGTTGTTGTTGAAAGCCTCAATATCTTCATTCTGGAGTTCTGTGGTGTGTTTTGCCTCCATGACTGGTCGTGAGAGTCCGGTTCGATTTTGGGTATTTTGGGTAACCAAGGTCAATAATATTACCAGTACTTCTAATACCTCGTAGTAAGCAAGAACTCACTGCTAGTTTTAGGGTGGCCTATCGGAAAACGAGGACTCCTTGCGGGCATCAAACCGGAACGGAGAAAATAAAGCGATCCTATACTAGTACACTATACGCAAATTGCCTCGTTCATTTAGCGTGGTTCACCACGCTTGAAGCTCCCACCTTCGCAAATTTGAGGGGAAAGTAGCGCCGTAGAGCCATTGGTCGCACAGTTCCTCGCTTATACGACCACCTCTGGAAAGGGACAGCGAGGGGATGAGTACAATATCGTTGCAAACTAGCATAGGCCTCTGCTGTCATTTTCACCATGATTCTACCATTAAATATTTACCTATGCCGAGATGATGTGCACAAAGTGCCCTCTAATGAGATTTAAAACCATACGTTGTGTGTGTGTGTGTGTGTTTAGATTTGAGAAGAAGGATAGATGTTGATTGCTTCCACTACTTCCTTATAGCCCGGTATCCATACACGCAATGACCTTCTACTATTACCTACATTGCAGGTACACATAGATGTCGCTTTCCGGTGAATTAATACGGCTTCAACCCAACGAGTTTCTTCAGCTTGTCCGTCATCTCGGGCTTTTCTAATGGTTCTGCCCTCTCCAACGGATCCGGTTTACCGTCAATCATATGCTTTCCATGCGAATGGATGTTGATATGCGGCCAATGTGTGGTAGCTTCCCACTTCCGGAAAATTTCCTTCTTTTTCTCCAGGTCTTCTGCTGATATCCACGCTGCAGGCGTATCAGTGGCGGTTCCGAACACCCACCGCCTTCCGCCGGTGGGTGTTCGGCAGCCTAAAGGAATTTTCAGCGTAAAGGAAGATAATCAATTTTCTATCTTTTTGAAGCTATACAAACCATAAAAAATGCCCAAAACGTCTAAAATTTCAGATTCACGTGTAGATGAAGCTATTGAAGCCGTCTATCTTGAAAAAAAGCCTAATATTGCAAAAATCGCGCGGGAATTCGGGATCCTATATTGCACACTCCATGGCCGTATTCATGAAAGAAGAAAGCCTCGTACAGCTCGAAATGCACCAAATAAAGCGCTAAATAAGTATCAAGAGACTGCCTTAAAGCAATAGATTGCTAAAATACGTGATATTCATCTCCCGGTGACTATATCATTGCTTTTAGAGTGGGCAAACCTTACTATACAGCGCGATAATCCTACACAGAGTATCAGTCGATCATAGGTATATTGTTTTTCCAAAAGACTTCCTCCTGATCTTAAATTAAGCCCTGTGATTCAAAGGCCAAAGGAGAAGAAGCGTCTAGATACAGAGAATGTCAGACAGCTTCAATTCTGGTATATTCAGCTTACCAACTTGCTTAAAGATGTTCCTGCTCGCCTTATATATAACTTTGATAAATGCGGCTTTCAACCAGGCAGTGGAAAGCCTCAAAAAGTACTTAGTACAAAGAGAAGAGTTCCTAATCTTCCTAAAACTGGGCATGCAGAGAATATTACTACACTTGAGTATATTGCTGCAGATAGCTGGATTATAACTCCGCTCTTTATCTTTAAAGGGAAGAAATTTATGGAGGCCTGGTACAATAAAACAATTCCCGATTATTATACTGCAGTCACCGATAAAGGCTATATAAACAATAAAATCGCGCTTGAATAGCTTCAAAGATTCCATGAGGAGACTAAAGATCGTACAAGAAAGAGAGAAAAACATATACTTCTCTTCGACGGCCATACAGCTCATAAAACAGTTGAATTTCTTCAACTCTGTAAGACATATGAGATTCTTCCCTTTTGTTTTCGACCTTATACAACACATCGCTGTCAACCGCTTGATGGAAAGCCCTTTCTTACATATAAAACACACTTTCGCAGTGCAAATAATCATATTGTACAGTGGTGTGGAGTCCCGAGAGATAAAGCAAATTTTCTACGTGATATTGTTGCTGTACGTGAGAAGACTTTTACTCCGCGCCTTATTCGCAACTCTTTTAAAGAACGCGGTATCTTTCCTCCAGATAGATCTTCAATTATTGAAGATATTCAGAAGATTTTACTACCTTTACCAGAGATCTCTGCACCTGATTTACACGTGTACAGAGAGACTACGCCGCCTCCAAATCCTCAGTCTTCAAGTATTGAGAATACACCTCCAAAAAGTGCTCAGCAAGTTGAAAAGAATCAGAAAAAGCTATTTAAGCTTCTAAATAATAATACACCAAACAATCCTCGCATTGAGCGCTATCTTGACCGCTTATTTCATCAACAAAAGCTTCAATCTGAACAGCTTGCTATTATGAATTTAACTCTTACACGAATTGAGGCTACACAGGTATCCCGAAGCCGTAAAAAGTCTAAGCGAGAGATTCAACGCCTTGGAGATAGTGGTATACTGCGTGTAAAGGATGCGAATCGGTCTATTGCAGACAGGAAGGCCAAAGATAATGAAAAAAATAAGAAAGCAGCGGATAAGGCGTATTTCAAAGTGTACGGCCACCTCCCGCCAGCGCCTTATATAGAAAATGAAACTATAGCTTCAGATACAGGATTGGCAGAGGAATCGGGTGATCAGCTTTATTTTATTGATTCTACAGGCGTTTAGTGGTGATAATACAAATTGCTTCATTTTCTTCCTTTACGCTGAAAATTCCTTTAGGCTGCCGAACACCCACCGGCGGAAGGCGGTGGGTGTTCGGAACCGCCACTGATATAGCAGGTGTAAATGACGGTACGGATAAGGTCCGTGTCAGGATAGACAGCGTAGTGCATCTGTCGGGAATCCCACAGGACCAGGTCGCCCGGCTCGGCGCAGACCTTGACAATCTTGCATCCTTGCGCCTCATACCACTTAAAGTCTTCGTCCTGGAAAGGATAAAAGTCATAGTGGAGGGCGGCGAGTGGACCTTTGGTCCTATCTGGCGGAAATTGCTTGAAGAACTTTTCAAACAAGGGGGCACTGCCTTCCATAACGACCAAGCCACCGTCATTTGGTCCAGCTTCAGACACTCGAGACGGATATGAGTTAGTATCTTCGTGGTCCTGCCCTGTCCTAGATCTACTTACAGTTGATGAAGCCTTGAACGCGGTGCATTCCATTTCTCTCAGGGGATTGATCAACATGTGGCCACGGCTTTTTGCCACCCATCTCTGCGGCATTAGGAAGGGTAATATTGATGGTATCGTACGATGCGATCAACTCGTCAGTACCCCATATTTTGGCAAAGGCACCCAGGACACCCGGCTCTTGCTTTGCGTCCCAAACATACTTTTCATGCGCGGCGCAATAGTTGAGATACATGCCATTCTTAAAGGTCCACGGCAGGTTCTCCTCGGTCCAAGTACTCCGGTCATTGATTTTGAAGCCATTATCAAATGATCCAAGCCAATCTATCATTTTCTGGCGATAGTAAAGTGCCCGGTCTTTGGGCACAACATTCTTAAGCACAACATAACCTTTGACGTCGAATTCGTCCCGCCAGTCGCCATGCTTGACTGGTTAGGACGAGGAATTCGCCATAGCTCCAATGTATGGTGCCATTGTAAGTAAATGTACTAGGACTCAAGAGACTGTGGTAGACGTAGATTCAGAATGAGTTGTAAGTTGCGTAGTTGCGGTTGTGCGATATTCAACTTTGGCGGCCTAGTATACCAGCCTGATATACGACTAGCCAGACGTTGACATCTCCGACTAGTGGCTTCCAGATTCACATTCTGTATTGGAAGACCAATCGTGTCTTCCTGTTCAATTGAGATCCCCCCGGAATGCGGAGGAGACCCTGCCGAAGCCCGCGTTCACAAGGTGTGGTTGGCCCAAAACTATCCCCCCGAACACCGCGAATATGGCTTTTGCGACCATCCAATTTGAGTTTCAGAAACGCAGGAATTGAAATTGATAGTGCCGTGGTCATACGACCCGAAGAAGGGGCCCTTTGACTCTCGAGAAACCCTTTCCGAGTCCGCTATCTAGGAAGGGCGAGCTTCTTGGGAAGCAAGCCTGTCCTGAAATTGTAAGACAAGTTTATACCCTTCTGAACTTGCTTTACGACGGCCTACGTTTGTTTTTGAAATGTGAGACATTTAGGGATACCTAACAGGTAGATGGGAGTTGTAGTCATTGTGTCCGCTTGGTCGTCCAGAGAATACTGCGATTATGTGACTATAATTCAGTGCTATCTTGTCGCCGAGTCAGGGGCAGCATCCTCAGGTTAAAAGGCCAATTAAGATATTGTAAATAACAGTATGTCATGAGCTTAATATATAGTCGGTAGATGAGTAGCATCCATTGGTGCTGTTAGAGGGCTCTGACTCCAATAGACTTGAGACTCTATCCATTAGATTTACCAGAAAACAATTTCTCAACATTCTCAATCTCCGCGGATCATTCATTGCGACGCTGTTCGCCGAAGTGGCTGTGTCCCATCTACAAAGCAATGAGATGCCAGATAACAAACCGAGCTGTACATTCGTTCTTGGAAATAAGTATTATACTGCCCCTAGAAGATCTAGTCTAACAAATTGGGAGAATTACGTGGCTGTCGTGCCCGCCTCCGATATGAACAATATGCCGGCCTTTGTTCTTGACATGCTCTGGTTTCCCAAAGTTGGAGACACCTCGAAAGTGTCCCGCAATTTCAAACTGTAGACTTTCTCCAGCCTGGAACTCGATGCCTGTTGCCCAAATTCCAATCTCAAGTTTGACGATTTGTCTGGGTGGAATACGCTCCTCTCGGTCATGTGGGTGGAAAGGCCAGTTAGGGTGCATTGACTTGTCGTGGTCAATTGCGCGCTGCGACGCCCGGATTATACCAGTAGGCCCTTTGTAGATAATGACCTCTGTCTGCAACTCCTCAGGTATTTCGTGGAATGACTTGACTGGCAGACCTTCCCATGGCACGTTTAAGCACAACATAGGCTCGCCTGTGGATGATACCTTGCGAAGGATAGCAAAAACATCCATATCATCATGTTCCTGGCAGGACATATACAAGACTGCCTTTGGTATGCCCATGATTCGCGTCATCTTATCAAACGTGTACCTGAATTTCAAGAAGTCTGTCTGGGATGTTGCATCGTACGACAAGGCGAGGCTGTTTGTGGGCTTGTTGAGGGCCAACCTGTCATTGGGCGCGAGGTACGCCTTCTTGTACTCAGTATTCGGAATGGGAAAATCCTGCTCTACGATGCCGCCTATCGATGGCGTTTGGCCGAATTTCAACAAGGCCATGCGAACGCGGGGTGTGCTCTCCCAACTGTTGTCAAGCCCCTTGAGGTACCGGTCGAAGAACTGGAGTAGCTCCTGGTTGGAATCCGGACATCCCCAGAGGTCATACCATTCCTGATAGGGATGGAATCTGAGCCACTTGTCAGACGTCTTAACCTTGAGCCATCCTCGGATGGCGCCCATGCCATGCATAGTATTGGACCAGGTGCCGGTGATGTATGTCGGGATATTAATCTTTTCGATCTCAGCGCGTTTATCGTTCCAGTACGCATTCGCGAGCGGGTATTTGTCGAACATGGCCCGGATGCTCTCGATCTCGCCTCCATGTATGACATATTTCGAAATGAGCTCATCGAAGAGATCGGCACAATAGATACCGCCACGAACAAATGTCTCCCGGTACATGTCTGTGCAGCCTTCCCAAGGCGCAATGGCCTTTAGTGAGGGTGGCTGCTGTGCGGCAATAAACCATTGGCTTTGCGCCAGATGGGAATTGCCTGCCATCCCAATACTTCCGGTGCACCACGGTTCTTTGGCGATACATTCAATCACATCATGGCCATCTTCTCCTTCCTGGGTTCCTAGCACGGCACATGAACCCTCCGAGTCAAAACTACCCCGGTTATCAACATTGACAATAGCGTATCCCTTTTCCACCCAAAAAGCGGGATCCGGCGCTTCGAATTTCTCCAGCCCACTCAGCACGTCGTCACGGAGGCCCAGATTAAACGGAGCCATCAAATTTAGCGCATCGGAGCCGTTGAACTTCTTCCCAAAGGGACTCCAGCAGACGATAGCTGGGACCCTACCGGTGGGAGGACGAAGAACGTCCGCATATAGTGTGACTCCATCCCGCACCTTGTATCCGACGTCATGTTCAACGAGGATATCACACGTCAAAGGTCTCTTTCCCTCCTTCGACCACCCTTTGGGCAAGATTTCGGTACGCGGATTGAACCCTTGGTAGCCTAACCCTATCTTGGGATGGCTCAAAGGTCTGCAAATGACTTGAACGTCGTCGAACTCCTTCATGATCTCGCTTGAAAGTTTCAAGGTATTGAGTAGTGGGAAGGAAGGAAGGGCTCCAGGGATGTTCGTTGGGCCCCATTACATATCGGTCTTACTCAGCGGTCATCAAGATTTCAAAGGGAATACCTCTAGGTTGATTCCACCAATATGGAATTCTTGACCAGTATCCATGCACGAGAATACTTTTGTTGTGCGAAGGCCAATCGGCTTCTTTGGGTCTGGGTTAGCGCCGTTCATCTTCGATATATAACATAAAGCCCCAGTGGTCAATCCATCCCATAATTCGATTCGACCGGATACATACTATAAACCCCTGTCGTGGGCACCGGCTTATGGGTAATGTTGTGGCTTCATCCTTCATCCTTCATAATTACGCTTATGACCCTCCTTTCCAGTACGCTTGAGACTGTCACGTCAAATCTCAGAACGTATGATAACAATTTGCCCGGAGCAATTTACAGGATGCACCTGTCCAGCGTTCTGAAGTGTTGTTCCGGGGGGGGCGTTCGCCGAACCGAGAGTGAACCGGGTCTTGACCTCCACATAGTTAAGCCGGCTAGAGCTCTAGCCCATATTTCCGCTTCGTCTGATTCGCACGTCTGTTGTTCCGACCGGTACGGAGTAGATTAGTTAGGCGCTAGTATCCGAACCGGCTTGGCTGGAATGGTGAATCCACCATTAACGCAACCTGCTTCAGAGTCGGTTGGCTTGGGTGCGTCCACGACCACGAGACATACGATGAGACAGGTCGCTCTTCATCCCCACAACAATGAGACTTACTCCGTATTCCCCGCGTTTTCTGCCTGTTTGCGAGGTAATGCATCTCGCACCTTCGGAGCAATCCCATATCTAATTGGTGTGAGTTAAATAAATGGAGAGCCCGCTCGGACTAAAACATCCATTGAGTTTTCGGAACATGTGGGCGAACATGAGGGCAGCCGAACCGCCCTGAGCGATTCCCGATGGATATCTCTTACCCTTTGGTATGGCTAAGAGCCACGCGAGGGGCAGGTGCCGGGAGAACTCGACTACGCCAGCTTGTGTCTTTGTAGCAAGCCTATAGGCATCTCTTCGAACGAGACGTTAATCCGCTGAAGAGTACAGAGATTCCCCAATCTTTCACAGATCCATCTGTCTTGGCTAACAGTCCGAGATCTGCTTTTCATGATAGCTCATCTACGATGTCGATTGGTGTAGCTTTGCTTGGGGCTGGGGTCTTTGCAAAGAGGGGTGTGTGTTTTATGTGGCCGCTATATTTCATGAAGGCTCACGGTGATTCTAACGGCTGAGAACCACAGAGCACCTTCCAGCCATCAAATCATGTCCATCGTTACGTCTCAAGGCGGTCTACTCGCGATCGCAGACGTCGGCTGAGAGCTTCGTTGCTGCAGCTAACGAGGATGCCGAAGCGTACTTTGATTCGCCGTATATTCAGTCCAAGTCGCTCGATGATCTGTTACAACGTCAAGATATTGTTGCCGTCATCATCGCCGTGGCTATTACTGCGGTACCGGGTCTGATCAAGAGAGCATTGGCTGCAGGGAAACATGTTCTGAGCGAGAAACCAATCGCTCCCGACGTCGAGACGGCCCAGAGGCTGATGGCTTACCACCAGCAGCAGACGAAGGGCGGCGTCCTATGGGGTGTTGGCGAGAATTTTCGATTTTGGGACTCTGTTCATAAGGCTGCGAGGATCCTCACGGAGATGGGTGGAAGCCTTGTCACCTTTTCGGTGACTGCATTTTCTTTCACGGATTCCAAGAACCCCTTCTATCATTCAGAATGGTGAGTTATGACAGCTCTATTTTCCGGGCCTTTTCGCTAATTCTTTTATATCGAAGGCGCCAGAAGCCTACTTTCCAGGGAGGTTATTTACTGGATGGCGGGGTTCATTTCGTTGCGGTGTTACGAACGTTGCTAGCTGCTCTGGGCCAAAGGGTGGAAGTCGTATCCGCATATACGACGTCTTTACAAGAGGACCTTCCTCCGCTTGACACTGTTCATGCTATTTTGAGAACCAACCAGGGACGCAGCGGCACCTACACCTCGTCTGTTGGGATCAAAGCCAAGCGTGTCATGGAGTTTGAGATTGTGACCGACAAAGGCTATGTCATATACCGCCCGTTCCAGATGGAGATCTTGATCAAGCAAAACCAAGGAAGTAGATGGGAGGAAGTATCGGAACCGGCACCATTAATGTGGGGTGTGAAGGAAGAGGTCGCTGCGTTCGCCGCGAGCATTTCTACAGGTAGGCTGGATTCCAGATTGTCGACCACCGAGGCCCTAGAGGATTTGATGGTTGTGGAAGCCATGTTGAGGTCGGGTGATGCACAAGCGCTGCCGGTAGGTGTCACCAAAGACACAACTTAGCCCGGTTTCCCCGTTATCTTGAGAGTACGATATGATATTGAAAACGAAAGTATAAACGCTATTTCTAGAATCATCCTATATCAACATGGGCCAGGCAGAATTACAATGTAGGCGTCTGAGCCGATAGTGTGTCGTTGAAGTTAGCAACTACTTTACCCCGGCCGGCACGTGGTCCACATTCCGAACGTATGTATAAAAGTAGTATATAGGATATCGTATACCAAACTGGACGTTCAAGCCCTATCATATTTCTCAAGGGCTTCCCCTCAGAACCTTAATTTAGTTTACCATGCATCGGCCAACCCACAGTAGTCCGAATGACAATTTTCCCCGCGTTTGCTGCCTCCACTCTCGGGCCACGCCGAACGTGGTTCTTCTCCGTATTGCATCGCTCTTTGGCTTGACTTTGCCTTCTTTAAACCCTGTAAAAAAGATATCCTCGGTCCGGCTGAATGCACGGTAGTAGCACTTCAGTCCCTTCCATGCTCGGCAACTCCTCTTTGGCACCGCTTCCTAAGCGGAAGCGCTTATCGTACGCTTGCAATTACTGCAGGACCAAGAAGACACGGTGTGACGAGCAATTCCCCAGCTGCCGAAATTGTCAACTGGCAGGTGTCCAGTGTATTACCGTTGATAAAAGGCGGTCGAATGCACCGGTCCAGCATCGCCGCAGAGATCTTCCCGTGACGGAGCGAACCCTTGAACCGGCGGCAACAATCAGAGTGGTCGCCCTGGTGTCTCCGGCAACGACGACGGGGGTCAGTCGGTCACCGGAGTTCACGATCGCTTCAGCACGTTCAAAATCCCCGTCACCTGGACCGAGAGACTCGAACGAGTGGCGCAGCTGGGACACGAGACATCTCCCGGTACTCCCAACACGCGCAGGGTCCAGCATCGTACAGATCTCGACACAATGGCTCGACCTAGCTCTTTCTCGGCTTCAAGTGCCACCCTCGAACCACGTCCGTGTCCACTTAGAGCCCTGCCTCTCCGGCCCAGAGCTTTCAGATGAGTACACCATTGCTTCCATGGAGCCGGGACTGCCGCCTGTAGACGAGCTCCATAGGTTGACCAAACTCTTTTTCAAGGTTTATCATCCAATCTATCCGTTTCTCGACCGGGAAATGATAATGTTGCTCGTCCGTGAATCCTCCGACCTGTCACGGCGTTATGCAAGAACTCGTAGGGTTAACAAGACTTCCCGGTTGATGCTCCTTTATCTAATCACGACTTTGGGCACAATGGCAGGCCCAGCAGGATCCGAGCAACATCTCAACACATATCTGGGTTACTGTCACACACTCGTGGGCCACCTCATCCTGCAGCCATCAATAGAGTCAGTTCAGGCGCTCCTTCTTTTCTCAATAACCCTTCGTCTCCGGGACCAACTATCACAGGCATGGGATGTGCTCACGCTCGCTATCTCCATATCGCAGACATTGAGGCTGGCCCATCTTAGTGCTCCCCTGCGAACCATACATGACATGGCGTCAGACAGCGACAAGAATCCCATGCGCACATGGTGGGCCCTGTACGTATTCGAGAAATTTCTCGCCTTTGACTCCGGTCGACAGTCCACCCTGGACGATCCGAGGTTATCATCCGTAGGGCGACAACACCCAACAGACCCGATGAATAATGGAAAGATGCTGGTGCTTCAAGATTATGAGAAATTCCTCACCAGCCTGGCAAATGTATTGCGCGAGATGCAACATCGTTCATGGCATACATGGCGGACAGAGAGTCTAGATACAACGAGCGACGCGGATGCCCGGGCGAGCAAGATTCGTACCGCGGGCGCAATCGACACCTTGCTGTGGGAATGGCGAAGAAGCCTGCCCTCTGAATATCAGTAAGCACTTTATGAATAGGAGCGCATTCCAGCTCCAATATGCCTGCAGTGAGCCCTTCATTTTGCTGGCGCATTCATCTGACAGCCGTGCCCTTACCAGGATCGGGACGTCGAGCTCCGCCGACGTGCAGCTCACACCTCAATGGGCTTTCCTCTCATTTTACTATCACCAAGCGTGCGTTTACCCAAGTCGGCGGCCCCGATCATGTTTTCACATTTGCTTAGAGTATCTCCTTCGCTGATGCTCACTAGGATCATTGTATTGAATCGAAACACGCTTTTGCTGGATTGGAGCGAGGTGAAAAAGGAGGTCGATCGGTATGGATCTGGGGAACCTTGGCATTTACGGCTTCGCAACGGGCCCCAAATATGTCTTGAGGCCGCGAAGGACATGACAAACCTCCAAGTCATGGTGACTGAGGCCGGTGAGCCCAGCTTTTTGGCCCTAGGCACCTCACCGCTAGCAGCGGCCTACGTCTTAGCCGTCCATATCCGTCTCCAGCCAGCCTCTATCTTGAGCCGGGCACACTCTGAGGTACGTTTTTTCGAGAAATTCAGGGTCCACTGTGAAATAGACTCGCTGACTAGGTTTCAATCCAGCTTATGAAGGCGGCCATGGCTATCTCGCGACAAAGATATTCATCCAGCACAACTCAAAACTCGTTGCATAAGTCGCTGGATGCTTTAGAGCGCTATGTCTCTCAATTACTAGGCGATACAGCCATTCAGTCTTCAGTCGAGTTCAACACGGACCCTGGGGAGAATAGTGTTACCACGATGGCCATTACGGATCCAGCGCTGTCAAATCCGCTCGAGCCTCCACCACTCTCGTGGGGATCGTTCGACTTGCTGAGTTGGGATTGGAATGAACTAGTTCCGCAGGCCTAAATGGACATTTGCGGGGAATGACCTGATACTTGGGATTAGCGGCTATTCTCAAATTTAGAGGTACCCGAACTCCCACAAGTAGCTTCACATTAGTAACCGTTGCTCTCTCGCAAAGGCACGTTTGTAAATGTTGTAAAAGATCGGAAAGGACATATTCGGTGTAGATATAGTCTGCAGTTGCAGTTCCTATAGAGCGCTTCGGAGCCCGCCACCATTAAAGTATCTTCTTGCCTTGTTATTACAACGTCCGCCGGCGACGTGTTAGTCCGGAAATAGGCATCATCCTCAGGCAGACAGTGTGCTGAAGTTTGGCCGTAGTGCGGATGAGCCCAAGCCGGCATTGTTCGGCTCGGTTCGATGCCAGGGCACAGACTCCGGTGGAGACCTTTTAAGGTTCTAAGTAGCTGCAAAAGCTCTCGCCCTCGGGGGGTCCCGGCAGTCAGTCCCTTTACCCCAACTTACCCTAATTTCTAAGCCCTGTTAATGTTATACCGAGCCCCGGACAATCATTCCCCGAGATGTCGAGAAGGGCTACGGGAAAGTCAAATAGAATACACTATGTATAATAGGGAGAAATCCCATTGACAAAAAAGAACTCTATTTCTGGAGTCTCCCTCTTCAATCAACAGTGAATTGACCATGGTACGGCTCGAACCCCTGTTGCTGCTTCACGCTGTCGGCGTGCTAGCAGCGGTTTACCACAACTCCTCAGGACCCTCATCGTCTCTGGGGACGTTCGAGAATCCGTCTGTCCGGTGCCGACCTCGTTTTCGATATTGGCTCCCGGATGCGGGAGTTGACAAGGAGATAGTTTCGACAAACATCAAGGACAGTGGGGAGCGAGGCGCAGGTGGTGTCGAATTTGTTCCATTCTATAACTACGGTGGTGAAGCTGGCGACCCGCCACCCCAAGCCGACTGGGTCACCAATGGGTTTGGTACACCAGCCTTTCGCGACGTGTTTTGGGCTGCGCTCCAAGCACACAAAGATGCGGGCTTGTTGATGGATTTCGCTCTTGGGCCGAATCAGGGTCAGGGTGTTCCAGCTTCTAGTGATGATCCTGGGCTGCAATGGGATTTGGTAAAGACGCAAGCACTGTATTTGACTAGAGAATCGAAAGAAAGACTGATTATTTGACGCTCAGGTTCCGTACTCTGTTCCAGTCGGTAGCAATGAAACCTTCCAAGGGCCGATTCCCGGCTGGGGAACCGGAGAACTGATCGCAGTGGTATCGGCGCACGTTCTTTCACAGACCAACATTTCACTGCCAGAGATCGACTCGCCCTTCCTAACAGCCCAGAGTGACTATCTCAGTTTAGTGCTTGAGCATGAGAGCCTGACCGACATTACAGGCCAAGTTTCTGAGGATGGTCAGCTGTCAATAGGCTTTTCCACGGATAGGGACGGTGTTGGCCACCGAATTTTCGCCTACTACCAGAAGCGGACCTTGCACAAGAATCTGCACTTTACGAATAATGCTACAGCAACAATCTGGGACAACGGTTCTTTCGCTGTGGGTCACTACAGCTCACGCGGTGCTCAGACGGTCATTGATTTCTGGGAGAGCCATATTCTTATCGATGGTATAAAGGAGTTACTGATGGAAGTAGGGAATTACGGTATGTCTCTCAATCCACTGGCAAAAGAGGACACCGGATTGACTGTGGCATCGTATCACGTATAGCTTGGGAAGATAGCATGGAGTTGACCTCAAACACATCATGGACGCCAGCACTCCCTGGAAAGTTCCAACGAAAATTTGGCTATAGTCTAAAACGATACCTACCAATTCTGAATTTCGGAACGCTCTGGCCGAACAACAATGTGAATATTCAAAAGTACCGACCTGGCGCAGTGCAAAGCATTTTAAATACACCAGACTCCGGGGCAGGCTATATCAACGACTACCGCAGTGTCCTTCAAGATTGCTACCGGGAGTACCTCCAGACGATTACTGACTGGGCACGCCATGAGCTCCATCTTGAGTTTTCAGCACAAGTATCCTACAATCTCCCTATGGATATGGAGGTGAATATACCTGTCGTAGATGCTCCTGAATGTGAAAGCCTTCAGTTTGGCGATAGTGTCGATGCTTACCGCCAGTTTTCGGGACCAGCATTACTTGCTGGTAAAAGGATTATCTCAAACGAAATGGGTGCAACCATGGCTGCTTACGGTTATCCCTTTCGAAGTCTTTTGTTCTCCGTTGGCCGTGCTATTGTAGGGGGTGTGAACCAGTTGGTTCTGCACGGGCAGAGCTATACTGGAGATTACTACGAGACAACTTGGCCAGGCTACACTGCCTTCTCATACTCAACCTCCGAACTTTATTCCAACAAACAGCCCTCGTGGGATCACGGCTTGTCGGATGTTCTGAACTTTTTCGCCAGAGTTCAATATACCCAACGACAGGGTATGCCAAGAGTGGACGTGGCCATTTATAATAAAGTCTCAGCCACCGACGCTGCCGCATTTCCATCTATGTATCAAGCGGACGACTTGGTTAACGAAGGTTCGTCTTTTCCCCTGTCCCTTAAACTGTTGGTACTCGGGAGCTAAATTATTGCACCCAGGTTGGTCGTGGGCATACCTTTCCCCAGATAACTTCGCCCTCCCTGCGGCTACAGTGAGAAACGGTACTTTGGGTGCCGATGGGCCGCAGTTCAAGGCTCTGGTCATAACAAGTGACAGTAATATGACCCTATCAGGGCTACAGAAGATCCAGGAATACGCGACTCATGGGCTACCAATTATTATCAGCGGAGGGTTGCCAGGCATCTTTCCTTCCGGCAATGAAAGTGAAAGCGCCACCATTGAAGCAGGCCTAACACAGTTATCAACCTCCACCAATGTGCATCTCGTTCATACTGGTGGTGTCGCTGATAAATTATCCACCCTTGGGCTATCGCCTCATATCCAAGTTCAAACCGATGGGAGATGGCTAACAACCTGGAGAGAAGACTCCTCGAGCGGCATCGACTACGCCTTGATTTTCTGCGATTCAAATACTTCCTCCGGATATATTACGGTCACTGGCTCTGCGAGCGATAAGGTCCCCTTCTACCTCAACGCATGGACGGGTGCTATGTCCCCCGTTTTCACATACAATGTGACGGATCATGCCTTGACCCTGCCAGTATCGCTCCAAGGCAACCAGACAATGATCATCGCATTTTCACCCCGTGGACTGAATAAATCCGGGGAACCAATGGTCCATGCCATCGAGATCCCTCCTTCAGTGATCGGTGCAACTTTTGACCAGAGCAACGGTTGGGTCGCCCATATCACCAACCAGGGGTCTGAACCCACGCCCGAACGAATCCGTCTATCCAGCGACAGATACGTTGAGCTGCCTCAACACCAGCGAACAGCGAGTGCGTTTAATCTGACCAACTGGCACCTCATTGCCGAGCATTGGGAAGCCCCAACGAATTTCAGCGATGCTAAGACCATTGCTCGGAAGCATAACACCACCCATGGATTGACGGCACTGGTGTCATGGAGCGAGATTCCTATCCTCAGAAACGCATCTGGGCTGGGTTACTATAGCACAACGTTTCAGTGGCCACCTACCACGCGCGCTGGGATTGACAGAGCTGCCGATGGCGCTTATATCGTCTTCCCATCAATTCTACATTCAATTCAGCTCTCCATCAACGGACACAGAGTCCCGCCATTAGACTACACCAACGCCAAGATGGATATCACCCGGTATCTGCAAAGCGGCACAAACGAAGTCCTAGCAGTCGTTCCAACCACAATGTGGAACTATATTCGAAGTATACTGCCAGAGATACGCGATCAAGGCCATCTCCCAGGCCTACTTGTCGAGGGACTGCCCGTGCCAGGTATTTCGGAAAACGGTCTGGTTGAAGAAGTTAGTGTTATCCCATATTCGAAACTGTTGATCCGTTAATCTTCGTACCTGGAGCCTCGTACTTTGGAGTGGATAGCTCGCTCTGCCGAATGGTGATATCAAGCGTAGTCCCTCGTGCAATTGCAGTGGGATACTTTATGTAAGACATGGAGGTTAAAAATACGGGCATTGCTCTCAATATGGGCTTATTTACTTTATTTCCAAATATGGGATGTTGCTTGAACTATATGATTATAAAAAATGAGCGCAATGTGTTTTGTTCATAGTCAGTAGATAGTATGAACTGAATCTAACCTGTAATACCTCCAAAGAAAGATAAGCCCTTGCCCGTTGAAGATTCGGCAGAATCCCGACACTGAAGCGTTTGTGAGATAGGTCAACGGACCACTAGCCTGGTCTGACTTTATAACAACAGATTGTGAACCTGGCTGGTTCTACCTCTGTGGTATATTTCCCCGGCGAGTGTGGCCGCTCCTTCATATATGGATGGGTTCAAGAATCGGAATAGTCACCCAGATACGCCAGCATTCCGGGTGTGTAGGGAAATTGGGTAAAAGTATAGAGGTGTTCAGGCGTTCTAGGCATGACCAATGGATATAATATCTCCAATGAATCCAAACAAACAAAAAAAGAAAAAAAAAAAAGAAAAAGAAAAAACATACAACGGCCAAAACTAAGGCCCACCTCACTTAGCGCCCACTTTCGGTGTTGGGCGACTCGCCGCTTTATTCGGGTGGGCTTCAGGCGAAAGTTCACCCACCTGAATACTCTTCACTCGACCCAATATCAACGCTTAAGCTCCCCGAACCGCCATATAAAAAGTAGAATACAGAGTAGTCAAAACGCCAAGAACTTAGATTTCTATATAAAGATAAGGGGTCTATCGATTCGGACAATGAGTAATTTTATGGCCCTATATCTTACAACGAGAATATCTAAGCAGAGCGCGCCTAAGCGCCGATTTAGTAGATGAAGCTCTATCTTCCTGTATAGGTTCATCTGCTTGATTTTGGCGCTCTATAACGATTCGGGCCTTTGTTAAGAGTACTCCGCCTAGTAAGACACTTTCGCTTCTTTATCTACTTCTCATATCTGGCCTTATTTTGCTCACGTTATTATTTTAAAGCAGGTTTTGAACTCATGTACACTCGGTAAAGTTATATATCTATTTCTCTTCTATAGTAGTAAAAAAAGATATAGTATCTCGATTTGAAAGCAGAATACTGCCTATTTCTCGTATGATTGTTGGCCGCGGAGGCACTCCACGCTTATCTTCTGTTAGAATCCACGATTTAGGTAATTTCTATTTACTAGTAGTTGATCTATAACTATTGATACGAATGTCACCTTTAAAAGAACCTTCTTTTAGACGACCACGTGGTGTAGAAAGAGATATATTAAAAGCCTGAGCTGCCTTCTTTATTTTACTAATTTCATTGCGTTTTATAGGGGATATAGCCAGTATGATCCTGCCTCCCTGCTCAAGGCGTAATTCTGATAATTCAGACATTTTCAGTGATATGGTTGGTGTTTTTTAACCATCTAACAAATTGAGGCGCGTTGAAAACGCGCTCGGGGTGCGGGTCGCTTACCAATTACGTTTCTCTTAGAGAATGATGCGGCCGTGAATGCTATGACTGATGAAGGTTGGACGCCATTACATCTGGCCGTAAGCGAGGGGAAACGGGATATCGTTCAGTTATTACTGGACAATGGTGCGGATGTAAATGCAGAAAAGAATGAGAAAACACCAATGTATCTAGCTATTGGCAACAAGGACGAGCTCATTACCACGAGCCTCGTTCGACATGGCGCTGAGGCAGATGTACCGCTGGCGCTGGCAATCAAGCAAGGTGATGAAGATACAGTTCGATTTATCCTCCAGCATGGACCTGAAATTGAACCAGAATTTTTGATCTATGCTAATCGTTATGGACATGATCATATTTTGCAGCTTATGGTAGAGCACTTTCTTGAAAAGGACGCTGTTGACTAGATAGCACCATTTATGTGGAACGACAAGATGTCGAACAATACTTAGAAAACTTGTGCTTAAAAATTGTACTACCCAAGACGATTGACCTCTGTTGATTATATCAGTTTTATAAGAAGTCCTATAGATACTGTGGCCCCACCCAGGGGCATACTTCTGCCAACCACGACCGCCTTCGATAAGATATGTTGCAAGGCTTCATTAAGTACTCTTTCTTCCTTGCCCTATTCCAATTCATTGTAGTTAATGCAGAGTCGAAAGGCCGCCGTTTTACTTTGTACAGTTTTTTATCATTGATTCTGAAGTCAGTAGCGATAAAGGTCCCTAGGCAGAACAGGAGAGACTCGAAGAAGACCTATATAACCTTCGCTAACTTGCTGTCGGAGGGACCGACAGGGTTATTATCGGTCGCTGTGTATAATGTGATGTAAACTGAACTGGTTTATACTGACTGGCTGGTCACTATGTAATTTCACTATGAACATGGGTAGAAATAAGCAATAGAGAACTCATCCGACAACTGCTTGGCATTACAACCAGTAATATGTAGACTCGAATCTATATATGCCACTCCAAGATGAAAGTGCAGAAATAATATATTTTAGGAAAGGCCGTACGTAAGAAAAGAAGAAAAAGGAAGAAGAAAAGCAATCAGACTAGGGTCGAATGGCGGTCGACAATCACGGACCGGAGAAGGTGCCTGAAAAGAAAAAGGCACGGCCAGAGGACACGACAGACATGCAAGCAAGGGTTATAATGATGCAATGAGTAGTAATTTAAATGGGTTGAGGCTGCTTCAGGAGAAACAGGGTAAAAGCGCCACTCACTGGATAAGTAAAAGAAGGGAAAAAAAACATACAACAGGAGGGATTCGCTGGTGGTCACCCACCCAACTACTAACCTCCCGGCGTGTGGCTTAAGTACGGCTGAGCGGACGGGAAGCCCTGTTCTCCACACCCTGTGGTCGTATGTACTAATTTTATAGTCTCAAAGAATTATATAGTGCATAAATAGATGTCAGAAAGCTTTGACGTATTTCAGATCCCATGTCTATTGAAGCAGTGTGATTTATTAGAGTCATATAATGGGGTGCTAAAAAGAAGCATACTCTCAACTAAGTAAATCTGGGCCACTACTATATCGTGCTCATCTTCTTAGTAAGGTATGGACCTGAAGTCAGCCCAACGAAATATTTGACTATTATCATTTGCCCCAACCTGGCTATCTTACCTAGCCATAGATTTTGGTGCCCGCTACCTTGTAGCCTTTGATTGTGATTATCTACTTGGTGCCATCGCTCCAGGCACCGGCGCGCTTGGCAGTGCGAATTTAGAACACACCCGAACCCTGCCGTTGCCTACAGGTAGACCATGCGCCATTGGACTTTTGGGGCCGATAATCTCCGTCACAAGCGTGATGTCGGCAAAAGTCCTGTCCAGATGGGCAGGTGACTTCCAAGCACTAGAAGACTATTGTGTCAATATAATGGTTTGAAACGACACGCCGCAATAGTGCCCGAAAACCCCAATCTGGATAGGCATTGCCTCTGACAGATTATCTTCACATCTCGTTCCGGGTTTGGCTATTGCAATTGTAGGTACAGCTGATCGGATATTCTCGGTTCATCCCCTGTTCTCGCTATTCTTTCCGAAGCTGATATAACATCAGGCTGAAGGTGAAAGAGCTCGGCACGCAATCAAAAATATTTGTCATTTGAGAGCAGAGCTGCAGGAACCGACGCACGAAATATATTGATCAGCCAATCAAATATTATCTTCCCCTCCCGATATGGGATCGACACTGTCCTCGTGAGCACAATCCGACAGTTCGGCTAGCCCAAGCCCCCTGTTCTCAAAGTAGCTCGTCGTATCCACCACGCCTTTGGGGCGGGCCGCCGACAGCTCACTCGTTTCCCCGGACCAATCATGTTTCTTGAAAATGGACATGACTCGCAGGCAGGCTCACCCAAGCCGGGGTAATGATCCTTTGGCAAGCGTTGAGAGGGGTTCGTTCATGCCGGTGCCGCAGGGGTCACAAGGCGCATTTCTTGCTCTCGGATCCCCAGGACTGCTTTTGATTTTGGGGAGGGGGGCTGAGCGCCATATATGATAAACAAGGTGAGCCCCAGGCCCCTATCGTCCACTGGGCAACGTTGGATATATTCATCCACAAGGTAGGTAGAAATGCCGGCAAAGAAGAAATCTTTCATTCCATTTCATCTTTTATTGTCCTCGTACCCCGAACATACCCAGTGTGCCGCATACACAGATGGTGGAAATCGCTGCAGCTCAAAGGCGCCGGGCTTGAAGGTGCCGAGCTTGAAGCAGCCCAATATTTGTCGGATCAACGAACTACACGCAGAGCTTCAGAACAGCTACGAGGCTAAGATTGATTATGAAAGGAGAAAAGATATGTTAATGGAGTTGGCCAAGCTTACTATCTGCGGGCGTCAAAAAAACAAAATAGACGCAGCCGTGCCCCAGTGGAATGCCGAGCTTCAATCGCAAGACAGCGCGACTGTTAGTCTAGAAACACCGCCGAGAAATGTCAATGCACAGTCGAACAACGACAAGGGAAGCTCCAAGTTGGAATTTACGCCTTATCAACCTGCCGAGATCGATGAACTGGTCGGGGGTGAGCTCAACCAGGAACTTGATCGGATAATAGACCGCAAGATAAGTCAAAACTTCATTACCCACAATTGGAAGGATCATAGAGATCATTTATATATCTTTCAGTGTGAAGAGGCGGAAGGCATGTGCAGGCTCGGGCGTACTCGCAATCCATCGCGAAGGGCTAGTGAACATGAGAAGTGCTATCCTAATCTTACGCAACAACGGTGCCTCCATTGTCCAAACTCGAAGGTATTCGAAAGGGTAGTGCAGTTGGAGTTAACTCAATATCGATACAAGCATGAATGTCTTACGTGCAACGCAATTCACACAGAATGGTTCAAAGCTGATCTCAATGACATCTACCAACGAGTTGAAGTTTGGTGCCAGTTTTCAAAGGGCTTCCAGAGCATCGATAAGCGATCCCAAGTGTCTATCCCAGTTCCTGGTTTCTCTGCAGATCCAGACAGATGGCTCAAATGGGCTCAGGAATATGTCCAATCATGGGACAAAGAAGTGGTACATTCTGAGCCAAATATTTCGGGCAAGTCCGTTGTCGATAATGATATCGTAACTGGGGATGACGATGCGGAATCGATGCCTGGACTTTCTCCTTCAAGCTCTGCATCTGAAGCGCCTGATGGTGACTACAGCGATCCTCCAACCCCAACTCCAATTGAACGCTCACGAAACGCAAAGTCAACCTCGGTACACCGTTTGATCATACCGCCTGCATCGCCGTCGGTGTTGCCCGAGGCCTACTATTCCGCGGTCGAGATTATGCCAACACCCACAGGCTGTGGCCCCCTTCCTCGGATCCCCGGCGAATTTCCTGACTCCCCAGTGAAGGTCGCGCCCAAGGAAACCAAGGAGGATGAGAATGAATTGGCGGATAGTCTTGAGAACATTAAACTTTTTTGATTGCTTGCATTAATCGCGTGGCACTGTCCCACTATCTTGATGCTATTTGATATCGGTTCTAGCTTTGCTGACTGCTTGGATTTATGTATTGCTAGTTTTCATTGTATGTTTAGGCCTCGCGGTGATGTATGAATCAAATCCTTTCCTGCTCAGGTGCCGTTTATCTAACAGGGCACGTCTAATTCGATTGGAATAGAGGGAGAATATACTCGGCCTAGGAGCGACACTGCAAATCCAACTGAAGCTGGTAAGATTATAACCTTGCCTCTTGCCTAATTGCGACTTGGCATTGAAGCTCCCTTGCGTAAGTGTATCCGACCCCAGTCGCCCTATGAGTTTTACAGTAGTCGGGTTCTCATGGAATGCGACCGGTATATAAATTTGCAATATGTAATAAGCATTTCCCGGAGATATAGCTTTCTGTACTGTTTCAAGAACCACAGGACAATTGTCACGGTCAAGTTCATAGATTCTGAATGATGTACGGAAACAAGTAAGGCAAAGCTATGGAATTAGGTTGGTGAGTTTCCAGGGAACCAAACTTCTGCGGGTGGCTAACTCTATAAAAAGCTAAGAATAGCCTCAAAAGATATGTAGGCCCTGCGACAAGTCAATTATATAAGACCATGAAGTCGGTTACTCCATTATAAACGAATGCGGAACAAATCTATGCCCTTTCCACTGAATCCAGACTCTACCTAGCCTCCCTTTCAAGCCTATGAGGTTGTATCATTGGTTCACCACATTAGCCATCCCCAGAACAGACAGATCTGATAACCGAATCAGTTGTAAATAGAATATACTAGCCATGGTTCAGCAAATAACCTACTCGCAACGCTCACCTTTCTACTAGCCATCTGTAGTATAATTCTAAAAAACCTTTCCTAGTTCCGAGGACCAATAACGAGTTGCTCAATTACAGTACGGTATCTTGGAGAGAATATATACAATGCGGATGAGATCAGTCTTGGTCAAGCATTCGAAAGTTACTCTGCCGGTAGAAACCCGCAATTTGAAGAAATTATTCAAAATGTCGAGTCGTCTCTGGCAAGTACCAAGGAGTTTGAGAGGCCTAGGCTGTGCGTCACAGGAGGGATATATAGAAGACGAGGAGCTGCTGATGAGTGGGCGTGTAATCGTTTGCGATGAGCGTACATGGTCACTATTCCACCATTTAGAGTTATGCCAGGACACAATCCTTTTTTCTTTTCTTTTTCGCATCTAAGCGTATCATAACGGCAGCGAGAATTGTGCTCAGCAGACCTTGTCCGTCTAAGACCAAGAAGGGTATTCAGCGAGAAGGAAACAGATCCCGCTCAGTCACTACCAACTGGAACAACCACATAGTAGTTACCAGTTCTACATGGATGCTTTACTGGAGATATAGGATATACCCAAACGTGGGAAGTTGTAACACTTCCTGTACATAGTCGTGTACCGCTATCTGGGGAAATCATAAATAAAGAAAATACATATATTGGTGACGGACGCACAGATTGTCTCTTTTAAATAGCATGAGTCCAGTGGTGATAGAATCGCTGTCCCTAGGTGCAGCACTGACGTTCCCCTCCTTTTGTTTTTTCCCTTTTTCTTCTTTATTTTTACTCTATTTAAACACAATTGGAAGACCTGATAAGCTGATCATCAAGGTTAAAAGTATATTCGAATGTGTTGGCCACGTCAAGAGCGCACACATGGCTGTGATCGCTACAGTCGCCCCCGGAGAAGTCCTTTGAATTGAAGTAGCTGTACCCCTTAGCCTTAAGGGCGTGAAAGAGATGATGGCCATTAGACATGAAATAGAGGATACCATGGGAATTACCTAGTCTGGATGAACATGGGTTTGATGGGTCCACTAAACATGGATAGACTTGATGGCCCCGCTGTACCAGAGATCCGATGGAGTAAGTATAAGTATAAGCATGCATTGACCTACCTCTACCCCTGTGAGCTACATTAGTTGTAGTGGGGAGATGTATGGGTCCTATTATTAGACAGGTCAATCCGTACTTTTTCATCCCGAAGAAACGGGTTGAGCTGTCATGCACTGTGTCAATCACCGTACCCACATCGTGCCTCTTAGAAGTGATGCTTAAATGCAACATATGCGCTTATCCGCGTAGGCATGTGCATGGTTCCACACCTAGTCTGGAGGTGGCAGTGGCGTTATGGATAATGTCGATCGTTCTTAGATTCTAGGGTTTCCACCGAACAGCCCACTGTTACTAGCATACCAGCTACCGGCCTAGTGGTGCCCCGGGAAATGGAGCTTCAGCGAGTATTAGTATGTCTATATAACTGCTTTTAGACATAGTCTATAAATATAATTTACCTTCGGTCATCCTTTGGGAAACAAGATGCTGACATTCGATGACTATCGGCTATGGTCTTATTTACAGGAGTTTTTCTTAAAAATGCTGGTATTCCTTATTTACTTACCTAGATGGCTGGTGCGTGATATACTCGTGATATACTCCTTCATCCTTGCATGTGCTCGATCATTTTCTTCCTGGCTTCCTCTGCCTGTTCCTGTATATCCAGATCCCAAAGCCAGCGAAGACGCTGGTTCCACGTCTCCTTGAGTTTCTCTTCATCATCACCCACCCCGTCCAAGCACAAACAGAGGAGGTACGCATTTTCCTTGCTACTAGTGACGACCCTCTGGCTCCGCGGTCGTCGGACCTCATCATATGCCTTGAACGCAGCTACAGCATCCTCCGGCTTAGTGACACGCGGATCCCCGAGGAGCTCAGCAATAACATGCGCATCTTCAATAGCCTGGCCGGCACCAGCGCCCTGGTGCGGTGTAGAGGCATGTGCAGCGTCTCCAAGGATGGCAACCTTAGACCGGGAGTATGTGGAGATATGAGGATGCTCGAAAATCGCCCATTGTGAGGGGTCGGGCATGCGCTAGGTGAGCCAAGTCAGCTGGTATCTCAGACAGAATGGATTCGGACCTGATTTCATACTTCAATGACGGCATTCACATATCTGCCCATATTACTGGCATCCTGTCGCATCTCGTCCCTCTTGGCTGGCCGAACCCAGGTGTCACAATCCCATTTCTCACTCAAGATATAAAGGCCAAAATTCACTTTCTTGGCCCGCATGATCGGATAGGAGATACCGTATGCCCCGTTTCCGACATACATGGTGGACACCCTCGCACGTTGCTCGCCGACGGCCTCCACCATCTCATCCATATCCAGTACAGCGCGATACCCGTACATTCCACTGTACTGGGGCTGTTTCTCCTTTGATTCTTCCGGCAGCATCGACTCCTTCACCTTGGATTTGATACCATCACACCCAACAACAACATCAGCGATGGCTATCGTGCCATCATCAAATCGCAAGGATACACCCTCAGCTGTTTCTTCGAGACTCTCAAGTCGCTTCCCGAATTGCACAATCTCAGGAGGAATCAGATTCACTAATGCATCGAGAAAGTCCGCTCGGCGCAACGTTGTCTGCCCCGACGGAAGCGCCTTCAGGTTCATCAGCGTCTCACCCTCCCGGGCGCCGCTGGCCCAAACGATCTCAAACCATGTTTGGCGGAAGGACTCGTATCCAGGGCTATCTGCGTGAGTTGTGACGAGCGAGTCATAGATTTCTCGAATTTGAGGGTCAATGAGGGGCATAGTACGGTGAGCAGCAGGACCAATCGACAAGCCAAGCCCGATCTCAGCGAAGGCGTGTGCCGCCTCGTAGATCCGGACGGGTACTTTGCGTCGTAGGAGACCGGCGGCAAGTACCAGGCCGCCAATCCCACCGCCGACAATGGTGACGGTGAAATCCTTATTTGATTCCACCCTGCCCATTTTTGACTTCAGGTAAAATAGTTCCAAACTCTTTTACCTCTTGTTTTCTTTTTCTTCTTCTTCTTCTTCTTCTTCTTCTTCTTCTTTCTTTTTATTTTTTTTTCTTCTTTTTCGTAACACAGTTCAGGTAATGATCGTTAAGCTTTTTCTGAGACTACTCACACAGGGGAATGTGCGTCGAAATCAAGGTGATCCTGCGGGCTAAGATACTGAAAAGAGCTATGTGGAGCGTGGGTCAGTCACAGTCACAACTCAATAAAAGTACGTAGAACCAGGACGTGGCATGATTAGGGTCTTTCCTGGTAGCGATCATTTACCTTAGTAATTCCAATCAAAATAAGCCCCAGCCAGTCAGCCAGCCTTGCATGTTCAATATAAGAGCGGAGATATCCGAATGAGCCGGGGGGCGGGTGGTTGGTCCAGACTTAATATATGCGTTATTAATCTGAACAGGGATCAGGCAGAGGAACTCCACGAGGGGCACGGCGATTCGTATGTCTAAAATAAGTGCGTCGCATCGGTCGAGGCACCATGACAGGGATCGTGTGGAGGTCAAAGTTCGACGGCGTCCCGGGCCGTGTGGGGTCAAGAAACAAAAGCAACCCTCGAGATCCAACGCTTGGTCTGGGAACCTGTCCTGCTGAATTTTGATTTCTCTCTCTGTGTGTGTGCGTGTGTGCCTAATTCCACGCTGTATGTAATTAATTAGAAATTAATCTCAGCGTCAGCCTACATTCCTAGAACCAAAGTATTCCGGCTGGAATGCAAGGGCAAGACACGTGTACTAGTAGGGGGAAGCCTCGGCAAAGCTTCTTACGGGAGTTAGTGGTCATTCTACAGGGTATCCCTGTGTTGATACCAATCCTGGCCCCCTGCTAGGCTTTATTATATTTTTTTTTTTTTTGTCTTTTTCGTTCTTGTTTGTGTTTCTCTGCTTTGGCAATAAAAAAAAAATCATGGCCGTCGTCGCCCGATAAGCGTCCCCGATTTCCCCTGTGACTGTCACCACAGACCATCAAACCTCATGGAGAGGTCAACAGTACCATCTGATGGCGGCGACGTCTCTAGAGCGTCGATGGTTACTGTACCAACCATTGCTACGACTATAATTGCCCTAATTCTCACATTATTACGGCTATATGTACGACGGTACATGATCCGGATATTGTCCTGGGATGACTGGTTCAATGTCTTTGCAATGGTGAATCTCGAGTTGTCGCGGATTTACATTCTCCGAATACTTGGCTAACCCGGTATAACTCCAGGTAACCCAACTGGTTGTTCTGGGACTGGTTCTTGGGGCAACCTCGTATGGCTTTGGACGACACGTAAAGTACGTGGGCCATGACCATGCGACTTACAGCATGAAGCTCTTGCGGATATGTGAATTTCTATTAATCTTCACAACTGTCTTCCTCAAGATTTCAATTAGTCTGTTTTTAAAAAGACTTTTGTAAGTACTGATACTGGGATATTGACCATGGTCACGCTGCGGCTAACAATTGTTGCCCCCAGCCTCACAAGCAAGAAATGGAGGATTTTCTTCTGGTGCTTTATCGCCTTCAACACCATCACCAGCGTACTCGATGCCGCCGTTATATTTCCGCAATGCACCCCCGTGGAACGTAATTGGGATAAGTCGGTGGAAGGACACTGTTGGTCGGCTAATGCGATCGATGCAATTGGAATCGCCCAAGGAGGTACGACGCCCACCCATTTAGTGACGGTATAGCCTGACATAATCTGCATAGCGATTGCTGCATCAACGGATTTTGCTTTGTCCATTCTGCCAATTGTTTTTCTATGGAACATTAAACTCCCGAAAAGAGTGAAAGTGGGCATATGCGGGATTATGGCATTAGGCTTCGCGTGAGTAAATGGTGATCAGAACAAGCTATGGGGGAAAGGATTGCTGACTGAAAGGCTGGAATACCAGGAGCGGCGGTTTCGCAATTGCTCGCACAGCCCTTGTTCCTAGTTTGATGACAACGGAAGATCCAACTTGTGAGTATAATTCTTCGCACGTAATGTGTCATGCTGGTATATTGGAGCAGATTATTGATGGTACTATTATCTAGGGGACCTGGTTGACCTATTCATGTGGGCAGTGTAAGTTGTCACTAACTAACCTATACTCCACCGACTTGGAAAAGAATAAAAGCGATGCTGACTTGGCTCCGGCGCAGACTGGAAGCGACATTTGGGATTATCGCTGCCGCCGCCCCATCTGTCCGACCACTCCTCGGTCATAACTCCGTGACTACAAACTATTATTCTCGTGACAAATCGCATTCTCTACCGCTCCGGACCACGCGCACCGGGCGAACCTCGCGAATCGAGTGGGGGCATACTGTATTTGATACTAGAAACGAGCCAGACGAGAGAGATGACTATGGCGGGGACAGCGAGTCTCAACTTCGTCTAGATGACCGGGGTATCATGAAAACCACCTCCATTGAGGTGGTCACCACACTAGGGCATACTGTGGAGAGTGACCTAGATGCGAGACCAACTTCGGAGGAGAGTGCCGAAAGGAGATACGTCTAGAACAAAAAATAGATTTACGATACAATCTGAAATTGAAGCATAACCACGAACCAATCTCAGGCGCTCCACTTGGTATAACGATGTCCTCGGAGGAACCTGGACAAGAAAATTTACTTCGTAGCCTAATGACATTCATATCGAAGCGTTCTTGGCATTTTAGGGTGGAGCATCAGGTAGTATTGAGTATCAGTGCTCCCGCGGAATTGTTCTGGCCGGCCAATAAGAAAACCTAGCCAATCCCTCCTGATCAGTAATAAGCGTTGCTAACCCGTCTTAGCTCCGTGCCACCTCGTGCACTAACAAACCCTAACCGCGAACCGTCGCTTTTTAGTATCCGCGGAATGTCACCCCGTCCGCAAGTAAGCTTCCCAGAAGGGGTCTCGTTCGAAACCCAATAAAATCGCTTGCGTTTAGATTTTCTACCTGAGACAGGCGATTAATGAATTGTTATTGCGGACCCCATGTCGCCGTGAACCTATGGTCGATGTTACATCGAGACTACTAATTACTATCATGCAGGGGTTGCTCTTTGCTTTCGCTCGAATGTAAATTAGTATGAAAATAATCCTTGCAAGTAGGGTTTGAATGAATAATAGAATCTGCAAATCAACAATGCGAGTATAAATCACATGTCTGGCAGCTCATGAAGAAGAAATCCTTCCAATAGATTAACCCCTTTGCTTTTTTTTTTTTTTCCTTCCCTGTCAACGTTGGATAAGCTCTCTGCAACTGGTTGCACGTTTACCATGTCTGCAATGGAGCAGGAGGACAAGTATCCCTCGCCGGATGTGATGGTCGCAACTGGAAGCGACCAATCTTCAGAATATTCCAAGAAGAATGACGATGGCATCGTCCTTATTCCTCAGCCGAGCGATGACCCGGAAGACCCCTTGGTAGGTCAAACAATCTTAAAAACATTGATATAGCATTTTGCGACGCGTCCCTCTAACAAACCTCCAGAACTGGCCCATGCACAAGAAAATTACCATATTCGCATGTATCTGTCTGGCCGGTTTCGCGGGTCAGATGTCGCCTAATTCCAATCAACTCACCTTCGTCTACCAAATCCCAGCATATCACAAGACTCAAACCGACCTACTAAACTCGGTTGCCGCTGGTCTAGCAGGATGGGTCGCAGGGCCTTTCTTCATCATTCCTCTTGTGGCTGTCATCGGTCGCAGTTCAGTGGTACTCTGGAGTCTGGTGGCTATTTTCGCCTGCCAGATTTGGGCTGCCGAGATGACGGGTGCTGATGACTATATCTCCTTCACTATTTCGCGGCTGTTCTGCGGCATGTTCGGTGGTATTCCTGCTATCCTGGGTAGCGGTTACATCATGGATATGTTCTACCTGCATCAGCGGGGTAAGGCATTCGCCATCTTCGAAGTCCTTATCATTTTTGCTGTCGTCGGCGGTGGTACTCTGGGCGGTTTCATTGCCGAGCATAAGCCCTGGAACTATGTCTTTTGGTGGACTCTGGGCCCTGTGGGTGCGGCCATCATTGCCGTGTTTTTCTTTGTTGAAGACACTACTTTTCCCCGGGACCCATCCATGCCGAAGCGTGCTCCCCTTCCCAAGGGCTGGCTTGCCAATCGCATCGCCACCTACTTGCCGGGTACTAGGACACAACCATCGGGCAAGGGACCAGAATTCGTAAGCTTTCCCCAATAGCATCCAAATATGCTCTAACTACCCAAAAGCTCAGAATCAATGTAACTAACGATATCATTAGGTCCGCAAAGCAATCACCCCCCTCCAGATCACATTCACCCCCATCACACTCCTAACAGGAACCTACATCTTCATTGCCCTCGGTCTCCCCATCATGCAAGCCTCCACCTTGGCTACCTACCTCGAACCCCCCGAGGAAGCAGGCGGATATGGGTTCTCCTCCCTCCAAATGGCCTTCTTCACCATGACAGCCTGGGTCGGAATCATCAGCGCCCAAGTTTACGGCTTCTTCTTCAACGACAAGACACCTCTCTGGCTCGCCCGTCGCCGCGGCGGAACCTGGCACACAGAATACCGACTCGCAAACACCATCTTGCCGAGCATCATCCTCCCCATCGGCCTCGGTATCTACGGCGCCGGCCTCGAATATCACCTCCACTTTATGGTTCTGGCACTGGGTTCGTTCCTCATCTGGTTCGGAGCCCTGCTTGCCCTCCCGGTCTGCTATAACTATATCATCGAATGTTTCCTGAATAACCCCGTCGAGGCTTCTGTGTCGCTTAACGCGTATCGGGTCTCATTTGGGCTGATGTCTGTGTTCATCGTTACGCAGTGGCAGTCTTCTGTTGGCGTGGGCTGGATGTGGGGGATGGGTGCGTTTTTGATTGTTTTTGTTGATATCATCATGGCGGTGATTATCTTAAAAGGGCATTTGGTGAGGAAATGGACTGCTACTCTGGGTAGCTCTTTGGATGTTACTGAGGATGGAGCGAATATTAGCGCGAAGAAGGAGGGTGGTGTGTGAGTTATACTGGTTCGTTAGATATTCCTCTAGGGCAGGCAAAAGCTCCCGTCTAAATTTCCAAGATATTGAACAAGGTCAAAAGATGATCTCCAAATTTTGTCCCAAATTCGACATTCCGCTTTCGATGCTGTCTCTGGTGTAGGTAATTTGAGAGGTATGCTGGAAGACGGTTTAAGTCCACCTGGAAATTGAATATACTTAAAACGGATCGACTGCGATAAGGTCGATTCTACTTGTAAAGCTTCGAGCAGTCTCCATTTCGGTTGCATTACGATGGCCACTAGGAGTGCAAAGCCGACGAATTTATGCTTCTATATCAAGCATTAGATGCTCCGTGGCAATATCCTCATAAAAAGATAGACCTCGAAATATTTAGGGAAAAAACAAAAGAAGAAAAAGAAATAAAAAGAAATCCCCGTCCTTCTTCAGCCAAAGCATTTTGCAGTATCATCTGTGGACCATAGGTCAATTCCTATAATCATATGATGTACCTTTGCTGAGCTTCTTTTCTGTGAGTCAATTCAATGAAAGAGATATATACAAAAGCCTACCTCCCCACCAGTGTACTTGCCCCACCAGTGTACTTGCAAATAGCAACGGGCAGCAGCTACGGGAAGCCTCAGTCAGTCTAATCATTTACGTAGGCATAGACTGTATGATGAGTTTCCTATCGTTACTTTCTACAATACGAAGAGATATTAACTAATCATCAATTAAACTTCAATAGTACTGAAAATGTCCGTTACAAATAGCAGCATCCTTCGACTACCTGAGTATGGGCTCCTATTCCTGAGATGCTCCTTGCTTTCCCGTGTTAGGTGATAATACTACTAGTAGTAGGATATTGTAGCAAGCCAATTATATGCGCCGTATCCAAACAGCCTTGTTTTCTTGGTACCCCTCTTTCTTAAGTACTTGGATAAGGCTGGACATCTAATTTCCATCATCTACCTTCAACATCAACTTTCCCTTTCATACAGAAAAGACAATAAATATACCGCACGGAATAAGTATTCCAAAGCCCCGCCCTAAATCATACTGCTTCCGCTCCCACTATGTCAGAACCAGCTCAGTACACTGTTGGGTGGATATGCGCGTTGGAGACAGAATATGCCGCTGCCCGAGCTTTTCTTGATAAAAGGCATAGCCAACCGAAGATACTTTCGCCAGTGGATTATAATGTCTATACATTGGGAGAAATTGGAGGCCATCAGGTTGTTATTGCCGCACCACTGGTTCCATACGGCACATCAGCAGCCAGGGTAGCTAGAGATATGGTAATCAGCTTTCCAGACATCCGGTTTTGGCTAATTGTTGGGATTGGGGGGGGTGCTCCAACAAAAGAGGATATCCGCCTGGGAGACGTTGTCGTGAGCTCATCCCAAAGTAGACATGGCGGCTTACTGCAATATGACATGGGTAAAGAGTTGCAAAAAGAAGAATTCCATCCAATAGGGTTCTCCGGCCAGCCCCCTACTATCCTACTCACAGCTGTATATAGGCTCCAAGCGCGGTATGCGTTAGAGGGCCATCGGATAAAGGAGAGCATTCAAGCTGTGCTTAAAGGTAACAAAAGTCTGAGACAAAAGTATACACGACCCCATTCTGAAACTGATAGGCTTTATGAAAGCCAGTTTACTCATCCAAATTCTCAGGCAAGCTGTGCCGAGTGTTGTGATGACTCGAGGTTGATTTTCCGACCAAGGCGAAGGGAGGGGGAGGATCCCACTATCCATTATGGTTTGATAGCATCTACGAACATGGCGATTAAAGATGCGATATTCCGTGATAAGCTAGCTGCAGATCAAGATGTTCTATGCTTTGAAACGGAAGCGGTAGGACTAATGAATCATATCCCCTGCTTGGTTATCCGTGGCATTTGTGACTATACCGACTCCCATAAAAGCAAGGAATGGCAAGGCTATGCCGCAATAGTGGCAGCTGCATACGCAAAAGAACTCTTGTCTCAAATTGACTGTCGGCGGGTATATGTTGAGCCAAAAGTCAGTGAAGTTATGGAAGGTTAGTTCTAGCTACTCTAAATCATCTCGGCGTGCCTAACACTTGTTCTCTGGCAGAGACCCAAACCCAATTGGACATTACATCCGAGGACGGTGATATGATTCATTCAATCGATAGCGGATCGGCTGAGGAAATTGATGCTATGCTGCAAAGTTTCAATTTTCAGGATTTACCAGTTGCTGAAGGAGCCGAGCTCGGAATATATATAGATCAACGCGAAGAATTTATCATTGGAGCTAGAACAGAGCTTTTGCTCAAAAAGATCGACGAATGGGCGGTCTTACCAGAAGGGAAGTGTTTGTTTTGGCTCAATGGTGACCCCGGAACTGGCAAGTCTACAATAGCACGAACAGTGGCCAAAACCTTTCAGGAGCGACGGTTGCTGGGGGCAAGCTTCTTTTTTACGAGTGGTAAAGGGGATCGTGGAAATGCAGCTCTTTTTTTCCCAACTATTACCACGCAACTATTCACCAGGATTCCGAGGCTACGTGCTGCTATTCTACAGGTATTACGAGATAACCCAGGAATTTCAGCTAAACCACTCAAGGAGCAGTTTGATAAGCTGCTCCTCGAGCCACTTCTCAGCTTAGAAAGGCCAAAACATCAGAGCTCACCTCTAGTGATTGTGATTGATGCACTGGATGAATGTGACGGTGACAATGATATTAGGGCTATCCTCCAACTACTACCACATGTTCAGGAGTTGAACTCAATACGCCTGCGGTTTTTCATAACCAGTCGGCCTTACTCATCTATTCAACGAGGATTTCAGTCTATCAGAAACAGTTATCAGGATTTGAACCTACATTCAGCTTACGAAAATGAAGATTGTATCCAAAGCGATATTGAGAGTATCTTCTCTGAAGCGTCGATCTTATCATCCCAGTCATCTCAAGGCGAGTTGAGGGCAATCGCTATTTCGGAGCTGGCCAGTTTACTTTTGAACGATGATAAATTAAGAGCTCTGTTCCCAACGGCTATGTTAAGAGTTGGCCCCGATAGATTCCAGAGGAACTTTACACGCATCCTCAAGAAGTTTGGCCGGAATCTAAAAGGCGAAGCGGCAAACGAGCTTCAATCCCAAGCGGCACATTTTGTGCAGTTATCCGCTCAGCGGACAGCAACAGAAATCCGTAAAATGCTACAGCAGGATAACACAAAACTTCCTATTGAACAGAGATCAGATGCGCCAAAAGCAGCCCGGGTTAATGCATGGCTAGAGTCACAAAAGGAAGACCACACCAAGCTACATTTTGAAGATCCCCCGGACGCATATACCAACGGATCTTCTACTGAAAGTGATTCGGATGACCCAGAAGGACCTGAGCAGGCCTCATTCAGCAGCCTTGAAGGCGTTCAGCGATTCCTACTAACGACGCATGCATTTATGTACCTTTGCCAAGAATTCAGTGAATGGCTAGAATTGAAGAAGACAGAAGGTGACACAGATCGAAACAAGAATATCAAGAAAGGCAGCCCTAGCATCTCAACCGACAGTAGAGGCACCAGGATAGAGATGATATGTTCATCTTGGTGGCTGCGCCTGAAGAATATCTGCTCCCCACCAGCAGCTGGTTACGAACGAATCCACTATAGATGTGTTAGTCTTCCATTTTCCTCACACAACCCCGTTCTAATTGTTTTCTAGGGATGTGGGGAACTTTCATACATTGATGTCAAGGAGCTGTCAATAGGTGGGATTGAAAAAGCTCGGCAGAGCCTCCTTGCTAGCATCGCCGCTGTCAGCAATGGTCGGCATAACTCACCTAGCTCAAACTATATATACCCCCCACCTCAAGCGCATTTGAATGACAGAGTGAGTGTGACAGTATCTAACAGAAATTCTGCGCTGAATAATGCTGCAAATGGCCAGCCTCTTCAATCCACGGTGATTGGAAATATCCAAGCCGAGGGAACAATGTCACAAAATCAGGAGGCACAATTCCTTCTTATGTGTGTCAACACAAAAAACTCAACAATGCTTGTCCATATCGAAGTTGGGTCTCTAACCAGTGACCAATATCTGTTCCAACAAATGCACCAAGAATATCAGAGGGTACGCAAGGAACATGAATTCAGAATTGCAAATACCCTTCCATCGTGGGTTTGCAACCTGCTGCGCACAATCTCAATCAAAATTCCAACACTCCTCTCGCTACCTCAGCGTTTTAACTTTCCTTTAATACTGAGTTCAGTCCTGAGCAAGTTGCACCTTCATAAAGTTTCATCAGGAGACTTTGTTCGAGTACGTACTTATTTGATAATAACGCAACAACTCAGACTAACACTCTTATATAGTTTCAGTTAGTACCAATAGGGATGGAAACCTGCCCCAGGTGGTTCAAGACTAGAACTATTCCTCCAGAGGCTGAGGTCAAGGCCAAAAGATATATCTATAAACCAGTCCCGATGGAAGATGTCGAATTTGTGGATATACCATTGCAACATCTGCTAAAGCCAGGACCTCATACCGACACTTTCTGGTTAAACAGATTTCCCAAGAAAATCAGGGAACCATTGATTCGGCTACCTGGAGATGATGGACAGCGTATTATCGGATGGGGCATTCGAATTAACGAATGCCTGAATTGGTCAATGATTTTGTTCTCAATATTCCTGATACTTTTGGCAATTGGTGTGAGTGTCGTCCTCTACGCGACAATCACTGCGGATAACTCGTCTGCCTTCGCCTTTGGAGCATTCATGGTCGCAATGATAACGGTATATCTCACTTACCAATATTTTGCATGGAAAGAGGTCGAGTGATTCGGCCATAAGTTATATCCCAAAAGTACTACTGCATCCTCGAGACAGATTGGTGGGCTGCTGTTCAGGACCAAAGAAAGCTATGGCTTCTTGTAAGACTATTCATAAAACAGTCAAAGATGCTAGCACAGCACTTGGGTACGGAAATGGTAGAGATTGTATGATTACATTCTTGACCCAGTAATATGTACCGGGCCTAGCTAACTAGCGCGGCTCTATTGCTTTTAGAACACACCTCCGTACAGAATAAAGCGGTAACCAGAAGCTAAGAGTTAATGGCGGAAACAAAGCTATAAGTAGCTGTAATAGTGGTCATTTCTTGAGTTGATCGGATTCTAGAGCTAAAACCCGCCCCGAGTCTGGAAAACCCGTGGAGGTTTTTCTTGATACCACATGGTTTAAGTTAATCTTAATTTTCTAGATTTTTTCTATATTTCTATATAGATCTAGATTATATTTCTAGAGTTGGTAGAGATATAGAGTTTTAAAAATTGGCTTAAGGTTCTAGCCCAAACCTATGCCACTGTTTTTCTTAGGCCCAAGGCAGTTGGCTGCTCTTTGCCTCCAAATAATCCTGACATTCATCGAGCTGGACGAAGAAATGAATTCAGATTAATAGAATTGTCTAGTTTGATCTTAAGGGATATGTAGAGCCCATCTTCATGAAATTTATAGTATTATTAATACGCTACTTGAGCTATCCGACCGCTTAAGCTAAGGGACATATTTTCCTGTACTAGTCGGATCATCCAACTGGCATTTTTGTCCGCAGTCTACTCGAAGGTTGACTTGTAATAGAAGCGTATTAGTCGTTTGTGAAGTAGGAATAACTATTCATCGGCTTTTCTCTGCTTTGTCCTTGTGCATCAAAGTTGTTGAGCGTACCCATGCAGAACTGGCAATTTTTGCTCCTCCGTCTGTGATTTTTTAGGAGGGAAATTGAGACTACAGCCGTTCTAAAGCAAACTATAGCGACTTGGAACTGTAAGTTGAATTATTAACAAGTTTTATAATGTGGAACCTTCCTGACTGATCAGCTGGCAAAGAGCGACGTCATTCAGTGGCGCGCCCAAAGAACACACGATTTCTTTCGCCGCACGAGAAACCCCAACAAGTGCATTCGTATAGCAACAAGAGCTCGCGCATCCTTCGTGGACGGAGGTTGTGTGCAATGCGCGTTCCAACATTTGCGTCATATCCCTTATAAGTCTGCTGGTATAGAGTACATATAGGTTAATATTTCTTACACTGATACTGTCTCATGGTATACTTCACTCATCTTATAATATTAATTTGTTTATTTATTGTCTCTGAGATTTATAGAAAAAGATTCAACCGAGCTGATAAAAATACGGTGAAATGGAGTTAAAACTATAACTTACAGATTATATAAAATATATAGTATTACACGATTAGGTATAACAAGAATATTAAAGAATAATCAAGGTCACGGTCGCTGAGGGTATCCAGGACTGGATTGAATAACTAGGGCTATATAGTGGACAGAGAGATGGACAGGCGGGTAGCGTGAGAGTCGGCGACGGGATAAGTCGGTAGAGCGGTAAGTAGGGGTCAATTTGCTTTTTCGGTAAAACAGTTGCCAAGGTAAATTCTTAGTCGTAGCCAATACTAGTTCATGGGAAGCCCATCGGCTATTTCTTGTTATTATTCAAAGTTTGGCAGCATGAGTTGTACAATCTACATGGCCCTGCTCATTACTTCATTGTAGCAAAACACAATATGTACGAGGAGCGCAGGAGGACGTTTGGTGGTCTGATCGCGGGTGCAACAAGGTACACACTGACAATTCAGCTGAATATACATACCGTTAACTGCTACCACAGATACGGCTTAAATCATATGAGGATAGCTGTAACAAGTAAAAGAACAATCCTATTGAGACTAAGGACGCAATCCGCAAAACCCACTGATTCCTAGGAGCGCATCGAATTGGCATCGACAGAATATTTCAAAAGCATGTGTGTGTGTGTGTGTGTGTTTCTTGGTATCAAATGTAGAAGCCAGAATCTGATAAACTGGGCATAAACAAAACTGGGGCTAGCTAAGCAGATGAGATTAGGCGGCAGAAAGAAAATATTGCAATACTCCTAGTGTGAGTGATTAACAAAGAACATAGCCAATACAGCATATAATTGAAGCGCACTGGAATATATAGGAGAAGTGATAAAACAATTATATTGTGCCGATGAAGGAGAGGCCGGTAACTACATGAACTAGTCTGGGTCGCAAAGCAGCAACACTTAGATACTATCGAAGGTCAGCGTTATCTTCATCATACCCCGCTGTTCCTACTTCGTTTAAAATAAACAAAATCAGTGAACTTCCTACTTCTTCTAGTTGTCTTTGTCTAAAAGAAGATAAAAGACAACATAAAGTACAAGGATTGATTAAAAAAAGGTTTGATAATATTGGCAAACAATGTGATCCATACCCTTAAACACACACACACACACTCTCTCTCTACTTGCGCTCTTCTCTTTCTGTGTGGTTCTATTGTGCCAGCTGGCGTAAGAAATGTTCTGCTCTGTCTCATTTATACTATCTTCCCTTATAATCCTTCTTGTCACTATCTTCTTTTCTGTACTTCATTTCCTGAAGATATTACCTATCCAATATTTAAATTGCCGGAAATCTACTAAGATAGCAGTCCTGTACCCATCTTTTCTTTTGCTCTCCGAGCTCCTTCGCCTGACAATATTGGCATATTTATAAATTGATTTTGCTCAATTCTCTGCTGGTCTGTGGCACTTTTATCGGATATGTGGAAAGGGAAGAGGTTTCAGGTTACGATAAATGATATACTATCCAGGCAGCGATGGGTAAAAGTTTAGAAGTTGTGTTATTTTACGGCAGGGATTGGCATATCGCTATAATATCTTGCCATCAGTGCGGGGAATGCCACATGACGTAGATACTAGCAGCCCGTGTCACATATGTATAGAGCCTTTTATGGATGTTAATGTAAAGGTGATTATAAACCCTTCTATTGGAGAGGACTCCCGAACTAGCCTGCTGAGTTACGGGCAATCTGTTAGACTGATGCAAATGGTATCATGTTTGGTATTCATGTCGGTACAACGGAGATACCGTCTGTTAACGGTCCTGGTTGAGAACTGATGATTAGTAGCTAAACCCTGCGTTGCAGGGGAACAAAACAGAAAAGGGGTATTTCATACAGGATTGCCATGCATGATGTGGACAGCTATACTAAAAAGCCATAACACTATTATATAGAAAAATTACCTAGTCAGTTATAACTACCACAATCTTATTGACTTAGTTCCCAGAAAATAGATCCGGAATACGCGAGACCTATTTAGGCTCGCCGCTCTTCAATTGCGGCAGAACTATAGTCATGACTGTATAAAAGGGATCCCCCTCCAACCCCCCCCCCCCCCCCCCCCCCACATTACCCCACCACGCCCGACTTCATCCTCCACCAACGTTATACCCTCGCAAATTCATCTTCTCACTTAGGACTATCCATATCTGGAACAATATGCCTACATACATTGTAAGTCTCCAACTTCGATACAGCCGCTGAAAACAAATTTTTGTTCGCTATCCTAACATTCTTCAACTCTGGCAGGTTACGTGCAAGGAGGACGCATCGGCTGAAGAAGTTCAAGCGTAAATCTCATATACTGATGCCATAAAATATTGGCTAATTGATGGGTATCTTAACCAGGACAAAACAACATGCCATAGATCAGGGTGGTAGAATAGGACACGAGTATAAGATCATCAAAGGCTTTTCGTGGGTGTCCTCAGTCCGTGCTCTAAGATAATAAGCTAACCGTCCTCTTCTCACAGGGTGACTTTTGATGATGACGCGATAACGACACTCGAGACGCACGAGCATGTAAAAGCAGTTGAGGTCGACGGTATTATGACAACCCAGTAGACTCAAGGGGAGTTAGGGGAAGCTTTTGTGGGTGTTGGGGGGAGGGGGAATATGGGGGATTTGGATATAGAGGTGGGGCAACAGATGATCGCGTCTTGGTATGTTCCCATTACTATTACTTGGTCGACAACCTGCGCTGGCAGCCCTTATTAGTTTGAAGGTGGAGCTGTATTCACACTTAGAGTGATAGCGAGAGGAGCTAAGGGTACGGCAGACTAAATCCAGCTTCTGGTCAACCTGGAAATTTTACTAAGTTTGAATCCCCCCAGCGGCATGACTAGTTTGAACCGTTGGAGTACCTTAGTAGGTTGAACAGTCTAAACGGCTTCATGTAAAAACAAGTTGACCGTAAGCTAGATTTAGTCCGCCGTAGTCTGCCACGTCACATGGTCAGGCAACCATACCCCAAAGAGACTAGACGATATGTCCCCGTAAACAATAAGCCCAGCCTCTCTTCCTCTGCCATGCTCTGCACTGTCATCAACAATGCGTCTCATTCACACAGAGCGGTTACAGCTTGAAGAATTCGCAGATGAAATCCCGCCTTATGCAGTTCTCTCGCACCGATGGGGTAAGGAAGAAGTTACGTTCCAAGACATCCTCCTCAGCCGGAACCATGGTACGGAGGGCTACCGAAAAGTGGAGAACATCTGTAAAGTAGCCAACCAGGATGGCTTCGAGTATGCCTGGATTGACACCTGTTGTATCAACAAAGACAGCAGCGCTGAGCTGTCCGAGGCAATCAACTCGATGTTCAGATGGTACGAATCGGCGGAACGGTGTTATGCTTACCTACGCGATGTCTCTCTGGAAGATGATCAATTTGATATATCAACCAAAGTTAGAAACAGTGAATACTTCAAACGAGGCTGGACCCTTCAAGAGCTCATTGCTCCATCGGACGTGCGTTTTCTTGCAAATGACTGGAGTGAGATAGGATCCAGGGAATCTTGGTGTACCTTGATACATAGTATCACCAGCATAGACGAATCGATACTGAGAGGCTCAGCACAGTTGTCCGATTTCAGTATTGCCAGGCGAATGTCATGGGCTTCAGGGAGAAAGACGACACGTGTTGAGGATACAGCCTACTGCCTCATGGGGATATTCCACGTTAACATGCCATTGCTCTATGGAGAGGGAGAGAAGTCTTTTATAAGACTGCAGGAAGAGATTATGAAGGAGTCAGCCGACCAGACACTTTTCGCATGGGAACCACGCGAATCATCAGATCGATCTGCAACTGGTCTTCTTGCACGATCACCTGCTGATTTCAAGCATTCTGGAGATATCATACCTTTTTACTTTTCAAAGAAGGATTCTGCTCCGTTCTCGGTAACTAACCGGGGTATAAGGCTACATTTACCCCTATACCACAACCTACTAATAAAAGATGTACTTGTACTTGAGTGTCAGGATACCTCAAAAGGTTACATAACACTTGTGGGGATATATCTGCTGTCCAGCCATGGCGGGCAGTTGCAATATATGAGATATAACTCGCGGTTCTGCAGAATTCCTCTGTGGAGAATACGTCATGCCAAGGCACAAACGATCTATGTGATGAAGACATCCATTGGCGAGGGAGGGAGCTCTTTGCTGCATGAGCGTAAACCTTATCGCTATACAGAATTCCGTCTCCGCAAAGAGTTATCGCAGTCAGGAGAGCGCCCGAAAAAGCTAATCCTATGTTTCGATGGAGGGAACCATAAGCATGGAGCGAATCATCAATCTAACATCGAGAAAATTCATAACATGCTTTATGGCACAAACGGCTCCCAGCTTTGTCACTACCAAAGAGCTAACTTCAGCCGTCCTGATGACTTTAAAGCATGTATGGGTGATGGATATAGTGTAAGTTAACTTCTGAGACTAAAAGATACCGAAGCACTAACACTACTTCCAACAGTGGCTCGTAGATCACTACAACGTTGGAGATGAGATATTTCTTTTCGGCTTTTCTAGTGGGGCTTACATAGCTCAAGCACTCGCAAGAATGGTCGACTATACTGGAATCTTACCTGATAACAACGGGGGCTTTCTGGATGCCTGGGACATCTACCAAGCCTGGAATTACTATGCGCTGAGAGCCGATGTTGATGAAATGTGGGAGGAGAGAGAGAGATATTTTCGAATGAAAACTTTTCGGGAAAAGCTCAGCAAGCCAACCAACAGGATCCCATTTCTTGGTTTATTCGATACTGTCGTTGTCAAATCCAAATATCTCGGTAGAGAAGGGGAACGAATCTTTACAGGCACGGAAATTTCGAAATCAGCCAGTACTATCTGCCACGCGGTCTCAATAGATGAATGCCAGCCTGAATTACGTCCGGTTCTCCTGAATGAAGAGTTCGGCGATGGACTACGTATGAAAGGTATAAAGCAAGTCTGGTTTCCAGGTAGTCATGCTGTGAGTGTTCTGTTTGTCTATGAACACTTTTTCTTTTCTTTTTTTTTCTGGTACTAACTTCAAAAGGACATCGGAGGCCTCGTACCACTAGACTCCGATGAGACTTGGAGTCTCAGCCACATCCCGCTGGTTTGGATGGTCCGCGAGGCCACAAACGCCGGTCTGTCTTTCAGGCTCACGACGCAGTTTGGATGCGATGAGCATACACAGGTCAGCCCACTAGATCTGACCAAGATAATGGACAGTGGCAGTTTAAGCGACCATTATAATGCATTCACAGTCAGTCCAGGAACAATCTTCTCTAGCGGCCAGTTGAAGGACTCTTTACATCTGGCATCCACACAAGGCCACCTGCACAGCACCGTGAGCCACAAACACACAATGAATCAAAATGTCACTCGCGCTCTTCTTGACCATACTGCATATCGACGGTTAACCGTCGCAAAGCGTCGAAAGCTCCCAATTTTCGCCAAATTGCATATTTCCGCTATCAACAGAATGGGCGCGGAGTCCACCCATTACCACCCAGCTAATCCGATTATGAACCGCGAGCCGGGTAGAACAATGACCTTATATACTGCGTACAAAAGACATCACTTGCTAGCAATCAGTGGTGCCAACGATATAGTTGGATCGTTCTACGTTGCTATAAACAAAGCCGAAGCTCAGTCAATTGTGCCTGTTGAGCCTCCAAGTCTCTACTCCAAAATACGCCGCGTTGCAACTTCCAATTTTCGTCGGGCCGAGGGATCTACTTTATTCTAGGATTCGAGGGAAGGTACGCAGCCTTACTTGCACAGTTCGTTATGAATTTTTGCAATGAGTGAGATGAACGTTGAATCTCAAGAGATTCAATGTCGAAGTTGCTTTTGTTTCCCGTCTAAATGTGCTATTAAAAGACTTCCTATATACCTCGGCTCTTGTATATACACATCGAAGTGGTCTATTCCGGGTAAAGCTCATACATCTAGGCAGTGTACCCTCCCCGCTGCTGCAGGTTCTCAATGCGCCCAAGCAAGAACTCCAGCTGGCGGTATGCGGCGCCGGGCACATACTGGGGAATTTCTACGCTCATTGTCAGCACCATAATTTAGGACAATTATCAACAACTTATATTGATTTTCGACTTACCATGACCAGCCAGGTAAACACTGGAGAAAGTCAACCCACGTTCAGTGTGAGCTGTGCCTAGAAGTCCTGCACCAGCGATCAGGGTGAATGGCTCGGGGGCATTGCCATTGGCGAGCTCCGCCAGACCATAATGGTAAGGGACATAAAGAGGTTCGACAGGAGGCTTCTGGAACCCTTGGGCACCGTTCCAAGTCATGTTCTGAATCGTCACCAATGATCCATTCAGGAAAAGGAGGTAATCAAGCCAGCCGTGACCAATGATTGTGTTGTTCGTCCGCTCAATCACGCTGGGGAGGGGGCCCAGGGCACTGGGAGGTGATTGATCGCCATTCTTGAAGATCGTAGTTTCTCCGCAAACAGAGTAATCCGTGCGAGGGACGTGAAGGGCCTTTTGGACGTCAGTGCGGTTGAAGTAGTTGTTAGGTCCGCCTGCAAGAGAAGGGAAGCCCATCTCGCTCCAGAGATAGGGACAGTAGTCTGTTAAGTGGTAGAAGTTGAAGCAAGGGTTGACATCGTAAGCAGCCGCGACAATGTCGTCCCAGATAGCGCACTCCGAGTTGATCTTCGGAAGAACAGGGAAGTTTTTTGGTGGCGGGTAAGTCAATGCTTCATCCAGGAACTTGTTGAAGCCACACTTGTCCGCACGGGAGTTGACATCTGCCAGGAAAGTGTCGTTCAAAGCGAAGACATTTGTATAATGGTTTAGATGCCTAACAGCCGGGGCTGTAGTATTGTCAGAATAAGCATCAGCCGGGTGTCAAAGCGACATGCAAAACGTACCATAAATCATCACCGAGTCGTCGTTAATTGAAGGGTCGTTGATCTGGATACCCTTCACATTGAAGTACTTCTCATCTTCCTCATCCAACATTGCCGAAGCGATGTACGGAATGTATTGCCCGGCATAACTCTCACCGGTTAGATACACCTTATGGCCGTGCAGGCCAAATGTGTCAACAAAGTGCTTGAACCAGCTCTTAAACTGGGCAGCAACGCCCTCCTCGTCATCCACGGTAGACGGACCAGGGGAGAAGCCCGTTCCGGCCGGCTGATCGATATACACCACATTCGTCAGGTTGGTCCACGAGTAAGGGTTTCGGGCAGGCTTGTAAGTTCCAGGAAGCCAAAGAAAGGGGCCATTTTCCTGCAACAATCCATCGAGGGAACTGCATCCTGGTCCGCCATTCAGCCAGATTGTGATCTAGAAGTTTGTTAGATTGAATGGACTACGGCTACTCTGTTTCGTGGACAGTGAAAACATACCTCGTCCTGCGCCTTCGGGTTCTGAGAAGGGAAGAACCAGAAGAAGAGGCTGGAGTTCCCAGCGGGCGAGTTGGGCAAGAGGCCTGCGTAAGATTCTCCGACATCAAAGTCCACTTCTGGGATGCCAGTGCCATTGACAAGGAACCCTACACAGCACACGAACACATCAGCATTATTAACTCAACTATTCTAAGACTGTTAAATACTAACTCTCAGTCTTGTTGGTCAAGTACTTGTAATCATCATCCCGAGCCACTGGGACTGCCCGAGGCAACACTGCCTTGTGGTGATGGGTTCGCTGAACAGCCTTAGCTTTGCGATGAGGATTCTCCAAACTGACGGCAGAGCCGACCAGCAAAAGAGAAGCGATAGCCGTTGTCGCACGCATCGTAGATAGGCTGTGCTAAGTTGAGCAAGGGAACCCGTAGACACAACCTCAGGATCTATCGACAGGGGGTGTGTGTGATCCCTCGTGCTCTTTTTAAACGGCGAGAAACCAGGCAGAAACCAATCACCAGGGTGGAGAAGCTTGTCCCCAAGGACAAGCGACAGACAAGCATTGGGAAGCTTTCATGGGTTTCAAGGATGGGGCCAATCCTTTCCTCGATCAGGAAGGCAAATGTGGATAGCTCAGATGCATACCCCGACGGGGATCCGACTGTGGACCAACCCCAAAGCAGCCGTGGTAATAATACTAGTACACAGTATCAATGTTAGGCATTTCAACCTTGCCGGCTACTCCGGATGATAGGTAACCTCTCATCTCTCCCATTGGGGTTGGGGTTGCATGTGGAGCTCCATCGGGATGCAACAGTTGATAGCGAGAAGCCAATAAGGCGACGCATCACGGCTCATTGAACGTGTAGATCGCGACATACACAGTAAATGTTTTGACCCACTTCTGCACTGTTGGAACACCGCCATTCAATTGGACTTCTCTTTTCATGGTTCAATGCAGGGTAATTTTTCTCTTCATTTCCTTCCTATTAAGCGAGGGTGAAAGAGGGGTTATAAGCGAGGATAGATGCAATAATAAGAAACTTGTTGGGTAATGGAAAATGGATTTCATGCGTCTATTTATCCCTTCGGAGAACAATCCGATATGCCCTACGGAGTACTCCGTAACTAATTTATTGTTACGATGATGTCTCTAGATTGTTTGAGCACGCAATGTTATGGCGATACGCTTACTAGGTATCGAAAACAAGGCACTAACGATATGATGCAGTTAGTTAAGCACCTACTAGTAATGGTCATACCACGTCGTCTTGGTCGCTTCCATGCAGCGCAGCATGCAGCTGTACTTCCCTCCATTGAGGTATTAATCCGAAGGCGCAGAAATCGGGAAAAGAATCTATTATGAGTGACATACAACGTCGTATGACTTATGCAAATATGTTCAGTAAATATACAGGCATTTTGTGTGTGAACCGACAAGACCAAAAGATGCCAATCTCGCCCCCAAACTCCTGGTATAATCGCCCCTTCGAAGAAGACAAGAATTTCTCACTCAAAATAAAACATCATACAAACAATGAACTATTGGGCGCAATGCCCTCAAGCCCGGACTCCCCGTCAATCATCGGCCAAAGTCGCCGGATTCGATCGTCAAGGATCAAATTCTCAGCTTCCCATCTCTTGCGTTCCACGGACTTGGCTTCGATCTGCTTCTGGCCGCCGAACCAGGAGCGCCCAGACTTCTGGATGCTCTCTTGCTCTGCTTTTTCGGCCTTGGCGACAAGTCGGGAGACCATCGTCTTCCAGTTCTCCAGGCCGACGCGGAGGCACTCGGCGCAGCGGTGGCGGGGGATACGGTCGGATTCACCTAACTCGAGCATGGTGGCTTCGGCTGTGTCAACTGCGTCGCGGGTCCAGGCAAGGCCTGTTTCTTTCGAGGATGATGCGTAGATAATCTCGCCAATGTAAGTCATGAGCCCTGCCTCGTCGCAGGCGGAGGTGGCAGTTCGGAGCGGCGGTTCATTTCCAGATGGGAGAGGTGCAGGGTATTCAACGGGGACTAGCATGATCTTAATCGAGTCAAAGAGGTAACGGAATGGGTCCTTGGATTTGTGTAGAGATGGGAGTTTCGGCATAATTGTGCCAGGAGGTGGCGGCGGTAGAGAACGGCGGGCCTTCAGAACGGAGGTAAAGATGGAGAGAGCGGTGGGAAGGTTGTCATGTCGGGCATGATAAACCGCAAGCGCGGTCGAGACACGCAGTATATTTTCCGATGGCAAGGACTTGCCATCATTTTTGAGAACTCCCGTTTTCATATCCACCACCTTCCCAGCGTCAACCAGTGACCCCGAGGCAGCAATGTCCATGGCCCATTTGTACATGTCGCTCGCAGTATCCTGCAAACCCTTATAATCCAACCAATCCGCATAAGCGAGGGCAGCATCGAGCTTCTGCCGAGTATCGAATCCACGCGTAGTCAGGATCTTCATGTAAAAGACCTCGGGGCTCGGAGAAGCCTGCTCGCAATCCTCCTCCTGCGGCACCTTCTTCTGACCCGCAGGCATAGGCTTCGGGCGAGGGTTCGAAGGACCAACAACGTATTCAGCCGGCGCAGAGATACGCTGCTTCCGATCCGTCAACCAACCCTCAAGATTCTCCGCCGCTTTCGCAGCACCCATAAGCGCCTGGAAGTATCCTCTCCGCCACGGTTCACTCTTGCTAGACACATCAAATCCGGTCTTCCCAACACCCTCAACCAAAAAGCCGCCATCCCCTTGCTCAACAATGCCCTTTCCTTCACCAGCCGGATCTTCCAACCGCTCCAGCAATTCCTTCAAATACCCCGCAACCATGGGCCAATTGGTCATCAGCTTGCCGATATCCTCTGGGTGCTGAAGAGCCTGCGCAGAACGCAAGCACCACCGACTCTTCCACGACCACTCTGGCGGCGTAGGCCATTGATGTTCGATTTCTTCTTGATAAACGCCCAGCTTGATCACCTGGAACAAGACCAGAATAGCATAGAACGACAGACCGATCCGGAGACCGCGGTAAAGACGCTGTTTGTAATGTTCGCGACTCTCGGTCGAGATCAATCGTGCGAAATGCTGTCGGAGGTGAATCGACAATGGCGGCACTGGCCGACTGCTCGCCAATGGAGAGAGGAAGGGTAGCTGTGGCCTGACGTACGGGGGGGTTACGAGTTCGAGTCGGGACTTTTGCGTGAATGCACGGGAGGGATGTCGTAGACTATGGTGACCTGGTATCCGGGTTGGCCGGATGGCCCCCGATATCCGACTTGGAAGGCGAGGAGGTAGCATCTCTGATGCTTTGGATTGTGTTGGTGAGCTCGAAGACGGTCAATTCCGCTTTTCTGTGGTTGGAGGAAATTGGGAAGTCTGTTTGCATGGTTTGCAATAGATTTTTACCCGCGGATGAAGGATTGCGCAGATGTTAAGAGCAACAGCAACAAAATATTATGGAAATATTTTACTCAGGAAGATTTACATATTATATCAATGTATAGAGTAGTCATTTCTTCCTACGCTATCAAGACGTACGGACCGATCGCTATCATGCCAGCGAAACGTTTACTCACACCAACATAGGCAAGTCCTCCAAAACTTCAAGTATCAGTGGGAATCAAAGATAATCCATTAAAGCAAAAACGTTCTATGATATCTTTCAACACTTAGTTCAAAATCACTTTAAAATTCATTACACAAAAAGCCCATTCCAAAACACCCTAACTCTAAGCGCGGTCAAAGAAACCCTCAGTCTCAAGCATGAGGATGATCTCGTGGACAATGCTGCGAACGGTCTGCTTGGAGAGATCGACAGTGAGGTGAGCGTTCTCAGGAGCCTCATAAGGGTCATCAACACCAGTGAAGCCCTTGATCTCGCCGGCACGGGCCTTGGCGTAGATACCGCGCTTGTCGGTCTTCTCACAGTACTCCAAGGGGGTGTTGACGTGGACCAGGAAGAAGGAACCGTGCTGGGACACGGCCTCACGAGCGGCCTTCCGAGAGTGCTCGTAGGGGGCAATGGGGGCAGCGATGACAGCAGCACCGGCCTTGGTCAGCTCGCTAGCAACGAAGGCGATACGCTGAATGTTGGTGTGGCGGTCCTCACGGCTGAAGCCCAGCTCGGAAGAGAGCTCGTGGCGGACAGTGTCACCGAGAAGGAGAGAGACGGCACGACCACCCTGCTGGTTCAGGGTGACCTGCAGAGCACGAGCGATGGCGTCCTTGCCGGAGTTCATGTAACCAGTCAGGAAGACGGTGAAACCCTGAGTGTGGCGAGGAGGGCTGGATTCACGCAGGATCTTAACAACTTCGGGGTAAGAGAACCACTCGGGGATGTGGGCACCAGTGCGGAGGCGGTTGCGCAGCTCGGTACCGGAGATATCCAGAGTCTTCACACCGGCAGGAACCTCATCCTTAGGCTTGTACTCATCGGTGTCCGGCAGGTAGGTGACCTGCTGGAACTCGACGACCTCAATACCCAGCTCGTCCTTGTACTTCTCGACAGCGTGCTGAGCGTCGTAGGGGCCGTAGAACTCCTGACCCTTGGAGTTCTTACCAGGACCGGCGTGGTCACGGCCAACGATGAAGTGGGTAGCACCGTGGTTCTTACGGATGATGGCGTGCCAGATGGCCTCACGGGGACCACCCATACGCATGGCGAGGCCGAGCAGACCAAGGACGGCCATTCCGTTGGGGTAGCGGGGCAGGAGGGCCTGGTAAGCACGGACACGGGTGAAGTGGTCAATGTCACCGGGCTTGGTGAGACCGACAACGGGGTGGATCAGGACGTTAGCCTGGCGAGCACGAGCCGCACGAACGGTCAGCTCACGGTGAGCTCTGTGCATAGGGTTTCTGCAGTTGACCGTTAGCACAAGTTCGCACAGGGATCGCCATTAACGCTGGATGAAAGTACCTGGTCTGGAAAGCGACAACTCGGGACCAGCCGAGCTTGTCGAAGTGGATGCGCAGCTCTGCGGGGGTGTCTAAAACGTGTTAGCACTCAATATCCAGGCATCTATTCACGCCGGCAACAAAACGTACAGCGCAGAGCGACATAGTCGTAGTGGTTCAGCTTGTTGACAGCTTCGATCTTTCCACCAATGTAGAACTCCTCAACCTTGGTGTTGAGGTACTTGACGGCAGGGTGCTCAGGATCACCGCCAAAGACCAGCTTGGCTTCCTTCTCCCTAAACCAGTGGAATACAATCGTCAGTCATCTGCATTACTTGATCGCATGCGAAACCGCGCTCCACGGCAAGACGGCAGCACTCACTTGTCAGCACGGTAGATATCGTCGATGGTCAGGATGGCCAGGTTACGGTCATCACGGAAGTCGCGGAGAGTGACGCGAGAGCCAGCCTGCAGCTTAAGCTCGCTGATGACCTGTTGGGAGGCATCGAGGGTAATGGGCATGGAGAAAAGGTTGCCATCGGCAAGACGGCAGTTCTCACAGACACTAACCAGGCGCAATACGTTAGCGGATTGTCTTGGCAGCGTGTGGCTTCAATTATAATAATGTTTTTCCCCAGACAATTGCCAAGTCTCATTTTCGAGATCATTGAACTACAATTGGTTTTCTCGGTGCGAATCGGGAGAGCGCAGCATACCCGTCAAAATCCTTCTGGTTCATAAAGCCTGCGAGGAGATATCGGAGTCAGCCACCAAGTCAACTTTCAACGCCCCGCCATCTGCCAAGCGTTGTCGCAATACAACCAAGAAAAAACACCATTTTGCGATTGGGAACATACCCTCAAGAGGACTGAAGCCACCGTTCATGATCAGTTCAAGATCACACAGCTGGCGCTCGGAGAGAACGATTGCGGGCAGGCTCTCCGCCTCCGCCTCCAACTGGTCGTGGCGGGGAGCATCGCGAGCAAGAAGGTCCTTCAGGACACCACCGTGAGGAGTGTTGGCCATGTTGTATGTGTGTATGAATTGACCAGTTTAATGTATAAAAAGAAGGTGAAAGAGAAAGAGAAAACACAAGAGGAGAGGGGGGGTATGGAGAGATTAAAAGAAAAAAGGTGGTGGGATGTGAGAGAAGTAGTAAGTAGAGGGGGGGAGGGAAGGACGTGCGGAAATAGTGGGGGGGGAAAATACAGAAGGGAGAAGAAATTGATTTGATTTAAAAGAAATTGGACAAAAATAAAAATAAAAAAAAAAGTTTCAATCCAAGGAACTTCTCAATTAGGTGATTGAATGGAAAGCTCCTAGGAGAAAGGCAAAAGGTTCTCGAACCCCGAGGCGAATTGCCTTGTTCCAGCCAAAGAGGATAATAAGGATCGGAGTGAAGTCGTCAGGCTGTGGAGCTTCCAAACTCTTGGGCTTCCTTGGACGACGTATGCAAATTATGGAGTTCGCAACAGCAACACATCCTCTGTGCGGGTGATTTCCATTATTCTTTCTATCTTGCTTGTTGAATATTCTTCCCTAAAATTAATTAAAAAACTTTGTTTAGAATATTCTTCAATCCGTTTCTGTTCCTTGGTTCGTTCATACCGTCTATCAATACTTAGTCTATACTAGTCAAGAATCCTCTGACAACATACAACACTCTTAAACCCATTCAGTTCCTTTCTTTTCTTTTTCCACTGAATATTCTTTAACAGTTTGATTTCAAGGTAGACAATATCCCACCATTCATGACCATCCCCGAGCCCTTCAAGGACCACGTCGTCTCTCAACTGGAGACCAAACCGTCATCTCCAGGATCATCAAACCGAGACGAGTCATGATTTTCAGGGGTGATGAATGAATTATTTATGAATACTTTTCATTTGAGACAAATCCCGGTTACTTGGTAAGAGTACAGTTACAATTGAAAGTGATTTTCCCTTTCCCTTTCTTTTTCTTTTTCTTTCTTGTTGTCTATCTTTTTGTTCTATAGTCAAAAGCATCTGCGAGATCGGATCGACAGGCACTTTCTCACCAATAAATGCCGGAAGGGTGAAACAAGTCTGATATCGCCCTTCAAACGGCTTTTCGGTAGCCGGCAGCCGTCATCACGTGGTGGGGCACGCCCATCATCACGACATCCTCCACACGGCTTGCGTGATTGCTTCTCTTGGCAGGGCGAATCATGTGATCTGCACGGCCCTAAAGCTGCCACCGGATTCCGCTCCGACGCCGACAAGCTGACGTATGAGCCTTCTTCAATATGTCAAAGCTTCCCGCCTGAATAGTAGAACGTTTCACCATTCTCGCCGCCACATTGGCCAACGGTTATCATCCCTTTTTTATATCCGGAAACAGTGATGCGGAATGGACACGTATACTACTACTTTTATATCGTTTGGAGTGCTCGGGTACTACGTAGTATACTAATCTAGATGACGATCGCCGTGCATACCCCCGCATATATGTCACATTAATTGAGGAGAGTCGTCAGCAATGCTGTTTCATGCGCCGTAGGCGATGACGGTCGTTATCAATGAAATACCCCTGCCAAGAAGCCCATGGAGCCCTACCCGCAATGATGCTTTCCATTCGGAAGGTGGAACTGCCCGCACGCAGGATTCATGCGTTCGTGCTCACCTAGGTGTCACAACTCGCGTGGATATTGATAAAGGATTCGCCCTGCAAGACACGTCATCTCTGCTGATACAAGGCAAGATATATGGAGGACAATATACACAAGGCGAAATCGTCTCGAATAGGAGCTACCAGAACTTCCTCCTATACTCCGCAATTCCTATTACGTATGGAGTAACTAAGTGGAGAACTATGACATATAGCTCGACCGCCATAACAAAGTGTTTCTAAACGGGGGGTCTCGTACTCCATGATAGACATTCGCATGCCGTTGCAAACCTTCTACGGCGAGTCCGGCCTCAGGAAACCGTTGCTAGCTCAAACAACCCTATTGCCTCTAAGCCATATACACCAACGCCTCCTCTGGACGCACTTCTCCTTTCGTCAGCCGCTCCCATCCACCATACATTCCCTCGGTGCCTGCAACCCCTTTACCCCAGACCAGACGCATGTCAGGAACCGTAGCCGCGCGGTCGTCAAGCCATTGCTTCCACCGCTGGTCCATTTTATCGAAAAATGCCTCGGGGCCGTCAAGCTCAATGGCCGTATCGCGGGTAGTAGAAGCATTGGATCGGATCGCCCCGAGCGCATGCATAGATGCATAGACTTCGCGCAGCTCATCCTCGGTGTACACCTGCATAGCTATCAGTCAACAGTCGCAACATGTCCCTTTCATGTAGACCATACCTTCTGCTGGCCTCCAACCAGGATGATAACAACCTTGCAGCTCTGAAGCGCCTCGTGGCTCTGCACCAGTTCGCGAAGTCGCAGGAGTGCATTATCCCGAGCACCATAATCAATAATCACCAGCTTCGACGGCTCAAGACCAACCAACCAAGGCACCGCCCGATCTACATCCGAATACGCCAGAGCCTTCACCGGTCCAGCGCCCGACTGACGCTGCGCAATCTGCTGCTCAGCCGCCCGCTCCAGAGCCTCAGGCGAAGAAGTAATCTGCAAGACACCCAACGGCCCCGACCCAGCCGGCCGACACAAAAGGTTATACGTAAAGGAACGCGCCGTCTTAGTCGACGCGGCCAAATTAACAACAACCGCAGACGATAAGTCTGCATCCTCAGTAGTCCAATTCAACCCCGCTGCAGCACCGTAGGGATGAACAGGCGTTCCTTTAGGCGAAAAGGCATACTCGCTGAGCAGATACCCGGCGCCCCAGATGGCACGGACGGCGGCCGTCCAAGCCATCGTGTCCCGATCATCTTCACTCACGACCTCGTATCGGTTGTAGTAAGTCATGAGACTTTTCCGGTGCTCGCTAACCTCAGTCCAATGCCCGTGCGGCTCGCCCGGGATCAGCGTAAGATCCGTCGGGAGTCCTGAGGTCGGCCAGAATCCCCAGAGTGTCGATCCCGGTGCGATATCAGTCGTGCTTTCGAGGACCGTGGCATACCCCCATGCCGGGACGATCCCCCACGCCGATTGGTCGTTGTATGGCGCCGGAGCTACACTGGGGACGGGGTATGTATCCCACCTTTATCAATCAAATCAATTAGTATAATCCTTGGTAAGCCATAAAATCCTAACCTACCAATGAAGTAACTCCCCAGCACGCGCATAGGAAAGATTATTGGAACTCAAACTGAGAATAAGCGGTCGCACGCGAACCGATGAAGGCGGCAGTTGCCTTGTAGCGGAAGAGGCATTCTCAATAGTGACAACAGCATGTTGACTGTTATCTTTCTTTGAAACTACATGAATGGTCTCGGTTTCGGACATGTTGGATAGAATATCTGTTCCTTGTTGAATTATGAATAGTCTAGCTGTGCAGTATATTTTTCTTTGCCTTTATACTCGTTTCTATTCTTCCCTTCCTAGTGTTAAATAGTTAAATTAGCTAAACTTATCCACTATGGTTTCCGCCCCAACTTCCTATTAGCCACTTACATCCTGTTTATTTCGTATGTCAGATTATAGTCAATCCATGTTTGACTCACTATGTGTAATCAACCCGGATAATTAATCATTTAGAACCTATGAAACACGAAAAAAAAAAAAAAAAGGCAACCTCGTACACGAAGCCCCCAATCAGAACTTTCGCTGTGGGAAGTTTAATAGCTTGAAACGGATGATGGAGGTGGATGATTGGCGTTTTCGGGTGGTTATTGCCTGCAATATCATAGAACGGGTTCTAGATTTACAAAGGGGTTGAATGGTGTCGGGTGAAATAAATATCCAGACATCTCGTGGATGACCTATGGGCTTTTGGAGCTTACTTAGATACCAACCACTACTACTAGTCAGCGGTCTTGAGCGGATGTACCGGACAGCAAGTGGGGTACATGGCATCCGTATGTTTGAAGAAAGGCAACTATATCTACACTAAAGACGATCATTCTAATTAATATGATTGTCATTAGGTATTAATAATTGATTGCGGGTCTACTTAACTGTTTAAATTCTACATATGATCCATTGGTCCTGGACTATAAGAGTGGTTCGTGACTACCGGGAACCAACTTTCTAGGGCTTGAGCCCCACATGACTTAAAAAACACCACAAACTACCAGAGAAAGTAAACGAGAATCAAGACAATATCAGGGTCTTGTCATTTCTATCATGCTAATCATTATCATAGTCGGCCACTTGGCCAGCTTTTGTAGAAAGAAGAAAGATAAACCAAAAAAAAAAAAAAAAAGCCAACCCGCTATGTACAAGCTCCTTTCTGGAGCGGGGCTGGCATAAGATATCTTTTGAAACCATTAAATCCACCCATGACAGATAATCTTCCAAGTCATAACAACATATGTTCAAAGCCAGTGCCTGTGTAAGAATAGAGTAAATCAAGGCTGTGTCGCTAGATACTAGAACTCCCAATCCCAAACGCCATTTATCAATGCAAGTCGGAAGTGACCGAAGACCATGCTCATTGAGCAGTGGTCGTTTGGTTCTGCAGCGCCTGAGATAGGGCCTCTTCCTGGCGCTTGCGCTCAAGCTCCATCAGGTATTGAGCATACTTGGAGCGAGGGTTGTGGATGCCACATTCGGTCTTGGCTTGGCCCTTCCAGCGACCAGACCGTTCATCCTCGTTTTCCTTGACGGGCTGGGTAGAGTGGTAGTCACCAATGCTCTTGTAGCCGCGGTCGAGCAGCTCATTATAGGGCACATTGTTGTCCTTGATGTACTGCTTGACTTGATCGAAGGTCCAGTTTGCCAGAGGGTTGATCTTGATAAGACCAGCCTCGTCAACCTCGATAATGTCAAGGTCACCACGCTTGCCACCCTGACTACGGCGACGGCCGGTAAGGACAGCATGAACGTTCAGTTCACGGTAGGCACGCTGGGCGGGCTCTACCTTGGCAGCCCAGTCGTAGAGCTGGTCGTCCCGTTCCCATAGGCGGTCACCGTACTTCTTGGCAAACTCTTCCTCAGAGTTGAGGCCTTTGGGCTTGTAGACATGGATGTTGTTCAAGGGATACTTCTGGCGAACCTTGTCAACCAGAGCATGGGTTTCCGAGAAGTGATGAAGCGTGTCCAGGAAGATGAGGTCGACCATCTGAGGGCGAGGGACATCCAGCTTTGAAAGCATATCAAGAGTGACGAGTCCAGTAAGACCAAACGCGGTGGTCTGGAAAAGGTGAGGAAGTGATGTAACACACCATCTCAAGACATCTACAGTACGTTGTTAGTCATCTACCTAGTGGGCTGAGGAGGACCACTCTATGCTGACCTTGAGGTTCGAGGAACTGCAGCTGTCTGTTGAGGAACCGCAGGTGTGGCTTCGTGAAGACAATCTCAGGGAGATAGTCATCACTTGAGCTACCACTGACATAACCAGAGTCCGTGGCGTTGTCCTTGGACTCAATGTCCTCGGCGTGGGAGGGATAGGTGTCAGGCATCTTTGCAGGCATCTTCGCAACGTGACCCGTGTAGAGTTGAATCTAATGAATGAGAGAAAGAGTATTGAAAGACAAAAAGAGTAGAGATTCTAGCAAGTCTATATGTCTATGGATGAATGGGAGAGGATGACAAATGACCAGGTCCAACTTGCGTGAGATGATGTAGAATAGTAATCATCACAACTCGGAGGGGAGAGCCCACAACCGGTCAGATATAAGAAAACAGGGGCGAGCACGACATCAGCGGCTATCGGAACTTGATCTTGCTGGTGAACTCCTCATACATGCCGATTGATTCTGCCGTCCTCGATCACGACATTGGCTGTGACCGCCTGCGGTTTCGGGGGAGCATGATGAAAAATTCAATTCCCTCATGTCCTGGGGAAATCACGCAATACTTGCATCTTTGGTCTCTGTGGGTCCCCGGAATGCTCTGATCTCAGTGCAAGACAGCGCAAGGTTGCTGATAAATCCTCTAGTCCTGTTCTCTAGAACATAGTCGAATGTCCAGAGAAGAAAAACATTCATCCGGGGTAGAGGCACTTTAATGTGGTGGAACCTCTCTGCGTCCACCGTTCCTGTACGCAGGGTCCTCTCCTTGCTAAACACTATGACTGGCCTGGTAGTTTATTAGCATTAGAAATAAAGAATGAGAGTCACCCTAGTTTGTCTCACCTGTCATTATTAATCTACTTCGAAGTACAGTGCAGTGAAAGTACGGTACCATGTACCCCACTCGGTCCATATTGATGGTGTTGCACCGCAAACCCTTCATACCCCGTATGTTGCCACTGAATTGTTGATGTTAGAAGTTCCCTTCATTCTGCCAGGGCGGTGAAATATTCTTCCCTCCCATATCAGTCATGTGACCCTCACGCGGGACTGGGTTAAGACACCCCGCCACGTGCCGCGCGGATCGGCCTGCAGCAAACGGGTCGATTTTACAATTCCACGGCGACGTCTTCTTTGACAGCTTCTCCTCCAGGGTACGGTCCCGACGGGCGAGCTTCCATTGATCATCGGTGAATTCTTGCGAGGTATCTGTCATACCTTTCCCATCCTTCCTTGGTTTCCTCTCTCCAACGACTCCAAACCAATTACTGCGAAGAAATGGCAGCGAACAACCCCACCACACGCCCGCAACGGCCGACACTGCAGGAATCGCTCAGGAGCAATTCCTTCCTTCATGATCATCAACAATACAAACCCTCGGTTCCCATTAGCAGCATCAGCAATGTCCTTGAATCCTCCCTTGAGTCGGGAGTAGGATCTTTGTCCCTCAACCCGATAAGCCCAGATCCCGAAAAGGTGACCGAAAGTGGCATCACTCACAGCTTGTTCCACCACCAAGCGAACCCTCTTCCCACCGGTACCCCGCAACTCGTCGCAACCATATACTACAAATCGTCGGATCCAATTCATCCCCATCTCCATCCTGATTCGTCGTCAAATGCTGGGACTGGCGTTAAACTTCCGTCCCCCACGGTTCCCGTGGGTTCGGCTCCGACAATTGATATTGAGAAGATTCCCCGAGAGCCTCCTGCGCCAGAACCTGAACCATTAGACCACCTTTACGGGCCATTTGTGTCGCAGCTTTGTTTGACAAACTTCCTCCAAATCCTCGAAACCCTTCCGACCCCTTACCAGCGCATGAACACCTCCCACCGCTGCCTCGATCAGAATGAACACCCGCGCGTAGTAGAAGTTACTTTCTCCCCACCCCCCAACCCGGAATACCTCACATTCACAGACCTGCGCAAACATGAGAGCATATGGCGATTTGAGCGCGAGTGGAATGTAGAGGTTGTGCTCCAGAAGGAGAGCGTCTTCCGCCGTCACAAGCGGCTCGTAGTTTTTGACATGGACAGTACTCTGATCCAGAATGAAGTAATTGACGAGATTGCCAAATTCATTGGCGTAGAGAAGGAAGTTTCGGTCAGTCTCTATGGACTCTTTTTAAAACTTTCGTTTTTATATTTGAATGCGCTCGTGAGAGCTAACCTTTACTATAGGAGATCACAGAACGCGCTATGAACGGCGAGCTGGACTTCTCTGCATCGCTCAAGGAGCGTGTTGGTCTTCTCAAAGGAGTGCCAGCGGATGTTTTCGAGAAGCTGAAGTCTGTCATTACTATCTCGCCTGGTGCTCGTGAATTATGCAAGGCCCTGAAGGCTCTCGGATGTAAATTGGCAGTTCTGAGTGGTGGCTTCCAGCCTCTTGCTGAGTGGTTGGCCGGTGAGCTTGGCATCGATTACGCATTCGCTAATCACGTAAGTACATTCTATTCTTTCGGGCTTTTACCTCTTTGGGGCCCTATTGGACTATTCGATGGTCCCGTGTACTAATTACTACGTGTAGCTCGAGGTAGATCCAGCATCTCAAACCCTGACGGGTAAACTCGTTCCCACCTACCCTATCATCGATGCCAGCCAAAAACGCAAGCTTTTGCAATCCATTGCGGCCGAGAACAACATCCCTATCGCTCAGACCGCTGCTGTCGGTGATGGTGCCAATGACCTTCTCATGCTCCATACTGCTGGACTGGGAGTTGCCTGGCGCGCCAAGAGCAAAGTTCAGCTCGAAGCGCCCACTCGTCTGAACGGAGAGACCATGGTCGATATTCTTCACCTTCTTGGTCTCAGCAAGGAAGATATCAAGGAACTGATTGCCGAAGTAGCATGAGCATCCCAGAAGCTGTAGGTGTGTCGCGAGCAGGACAGAAGACACACCCTATCTCAAATGATATCTGGCCAAAAGATTGCGTGGGGACTTCGCCAGGTGCAGATTTGCCATTTGGATCTTGTCAGCAGGGACCTACAGGAGCACCGATTGATCGGCGCGCTTCGCTCGATTCTTTTCTTTCCTAAGCCGAGGGACTCAGCCTTGATACATACGTATAGGCTGCCTGTGTTTTCACTTTCTGACGGGAGTAGTCGAGAGGACGGTCGATCCTAGAGGATATTATTTAACGTAGGCGTAGTAGTGTGAGGGATTTGGGTGCATATAAGGGCCACGGACATTACTGAATGAATATGCAGATTATATTGTTGATTCCATCTGAAAATAAGTGTTGAACCCAATGAACTTCCAGAGCATGCTCGGAGGATGCTTTCTATTTTACCTCCCAAACCCCAACTAACGAATATATCCGAACGACGGCCCATGCCCGTCAATATCAATACATTTCATAAGATTGATGAAAAGCCAACCTAAACCTGCGCCGAGACAAAAGTAGACAATAGGGAAAGAGATTTATAAGTATTTTCACCGAGTAGCCTCACCGACAGCAACCTTGCTATCCGTAACAGACTCGCCCGCAGTACCAGCAGCACGTCGCTTCTTCAAAACATTCTCGATGAACGCCTCACCAGCCTTGTAACTACTGCGAACCAAAGGCCCAGAAGCACAGTAGAGGAAGCCCATATCCAGGGCGCGCTGGCGCCAGAGCTCAAACTGGTCAGGCGTAACATATTCATGCACAGGCATGTGACGCTTCGTAGGACGCATGTACTGGCCGAACGTAACGACATCAACACCAACCGACCGCAATTGACGGAGAGCATCCCAGAGCTGCTCCTCAGTTTCACCGAACCCAAGCATAAGAGAGGTCTTAGTGATCAGATCGGGCCTGGCCTGCTTCGCCGCCTCCAGGACGCGGAGCGACTGTTGGAAAGTCGCGCGACGGTCACGGACAAACGGGGTCAGAGCCTCAACCGTCTCGACGTTGTGCGCATACACGTCCAGTCCGGACCGAGCCACCAACTTCACCATCTCCAGGTCACCACGGTAGTCACCCGTCAAGCACTCGACCAGCATGCTGGGCTTCTTCTGCTTAATCTTGATAACCGTCTCGGCGAAGTGGCGAGCGCCACCATCCGCCAGGTCGTCTCGATCCACACTCGTCAACACCACGTATCCTAGACTCCACCTCGAGATCGCCTCGGCGGTATTCTCTGGCTCATGCGGGTCGAGAGGCGGAGGCCTGCGGTTGGTTTTCACACTGCAGAACCGACATCCACGGGTACAGGTGTCACCCATGAGCATGATAGTGGCGGTAGCAGCGGACTTGTCGCTACCGCCCCAGCAATCGGAGATGTTGGGACACCGGGCCTCTTCGCAAACAGTGTGCAGATTTAGACCTCGTAGATCTTTCTTTAACCGTTGGTAGTTCTTGGAGTCTGGGATCGGGGTCTTGAGCCAGGACGGCAAACGGGTCATTTCCTTCTTGCGGCCGGCGGGGCCGACCATGGCGGTTTTGAGGGCATATGCTTCGGAGGGCTCGAGCGGAGCGTTGTCTCCGCCTCCGGAGACGAAATCTGCGAAGGAAGGGCCGGCATTCAGCTTATCAGTGAAGTTTGTCCGTTTACGGGCTGTTACCGGGGCACCGGTGGCGGACGGAGAAGGTTCTGTTGTGGCATATGTGCGGCGGGAGATTGGGGCAATGGACCCGGTTTGAGGAATGGTCCTCGCGGAGGAATAGAGAAACCGTAGCCGGTTCGTCGATGCAGCCATGGTGATGCTATTCAACTTGCAAAAGTTGCGAAAGTTGAATTCCGCGGGAAAGATGAGCGAAGCTCCGACATGATAACGAAGTCCGCTGCCATTACTCAGCGTGTTCTAACCTTATTTGGCTTAGAGTCGCACATGCCTAAGGCCTACTTATTTGCCCTAATTGACGGGATGAGATGCTAGTCTAGTAACAAAATACGGAACCTATGATTCGTGAATGAGGTCTTCATGCCGAGGCAATGGTATCATTGTTCAATATACAGGCTAGGAAATATTCAATTAGTGATTAGAAATTAACCACTATGGCTAGTTAGATAGACAGAGGAAATAAAAATGGAGGGTGGAACACTTGTTCGTAACATAGGCAAAATGGAATATGTAGTGAAGGACGAGAATGGGTAAGGATACAATAGTAAAAACAAGGTTGAACGAATGAGAGGAAGCAACTGAGGTCTATGCAACTTGGAATGCAGAAGACAGAAAAGAAAGGCAGGGATATGAGCTGAGATAAGACAATTAGAGAGGGAATATACTTGAACCTGACAATCGCGATTAAAGAGAGCAGAAAGAAGGCAGCAGTGGGTCTCGTAAGGTCAATACATCGAGTGGGCATACAGAAGTTGAAAGGAAATACAGTCTAGGCTTTGGTCTCCAGGACCTGAGCTAAGACGAGCACAGCGGACTTTAGGGTTGCGTCGCGCTTGCGACATATAGCAAACAGCAGATCGTCAATTATTCGGTCTAAGCTTTTGTTGAGCTCTCCACTCCGCGACCCCAAGACCCGATCTCTGACTCGCGATGGCGATGACGGGGCAAGCGGTGTACCTAACATCGCGCTCGCTCTCTCGGGGACGGTGTCAAGACGAGACAGGGTGGGGCGATGACCATGATTTGCGGTTTTTCGTTTAGATGATGCTAACGACAGCACGTAGTTCCGCGCTATTAGAGCTGCACATAGACCATCTAATAGATTATCTGCGGCATCTGGAAAGATTTGGCGAAACCTCCGCAGGATGTCCTTTTCGTCACTATGACGAACGAGTATGATGACCGGGGATGTCAATCTAAGCATGGTGCGTGGGAATTCCTTGATCGAATGTTCCAGCTGATCCATTGCCCATTCATGATCCCACCATTTCTTCAACTCGCCATTCTCAGCTGTGTCAGATGAGGGCACAGATCGCCGAGGCTTTGATGGCGAGCTAGCTTTGTGCGCTACATCTGGCCGTGGAGGTGATTTTGGCGATGCAACACTGCGCATTGGCTTGTCGCGGATAGCGGTTTCACTGATGCCCCTTACCGAGCTTACATGTATGAAGCCATCCTCCTTGTCCGGTTTAGTGTCACCCGGGGAATCACAAGATGCATCAGTAGTAGCATACCCGCTGTCAGACATCTCCAATGGTGTGTCGGGGCTGAAGGCAGATATTTCTTGTTGGCCTAGATCCGGTGTTGAAGGCACTGGTGGTTGGGGCGGGGTCGGAATGGAGCAGCTCATAGCGGGAGAAGATTGTCGCGAAATGTCAACCAGCTTCGGCTTGGTTTTGCTGGCCACCGCAAACATCTAGGATAGTGTAAGTAAATATTATATCAACAGTTTTAGAGAATGCCTACCACTGGTTCGTCCGCAGGAGCCTTCATCTCGCGTTTACGTTCAGGTGGCGGAGGGCTCTGTTGAACTATCTGTATTCTTCTTCTGTTGTTTTCCTTTGACTTTTCTCCGGTAGTCTCGAATTCCATGGGAGCTCTTTGGAGCCAGTCCTCACAGTACGAAAGGTTACTTGGGACCCAGCTTCCTTCACTCGATACGGTTCCTGACCGACTCCGCTGCGTGTCTATGGAAGATCCGGAAAATGTTCTCTTCTCAAAAGCATCTACATCCGAAGAGAGAGCTGGCGAAAACATGCGCGGGGAAGCAGTAGATACCGGAGTCCATTTTCCGTCGTTAGAGCTATATTGCTTCATCAGGTTGGAATGTGCCATGTGCACATTCGTTGTGTCCCCTGCTCTTTTCGGAGTCGGGTCGTTTCTGTGGGTGCTGTAGACCTCACTCGAAATCGTCGTTGGCGTATATACGCTACTCTTTGGGGTCCCATGGTCAGTGTCCAGGTCTGAGTCTGGCTTGGGGGAGAAATATGCGGAAGACGGCGACGGCTGTGACTCCCTTGAGTCTGATAAAGGAGGACTTGGAAGCAGTCCAAATGCTTCCATATTTGTCTGCGTGATGTGCTGGTATGAGCGACTAGTTCGCAGCGCTTGATTTCCGGATGGAGGTCGCGATAGCCTCGACTCTCTGGCCGCGGACTGGATGCTCTCCACCGATGGAGATGATGGTAAGCGCAGTTGAAAAGGTTGCTTCATCCTGCGCACAGACCGAAATGGCGAGGCAGGAGTGGCAGATAGTCGCTCTGTTGATCGTTTGGGTTGCGCCGTGTACTCAGTTTGCTCCGGGCGAGGAGATGTCGAAGGAATGAATGAGAGAGAACTCTGCGCCTGCTGCCTCCTCCAGGGCTGAAATGTTGGGGAATAGCGAGGGTAAGCTATATCGTTTCCTTGGGCTGTGGGATCTTCATCTGTTACGTAGTACGACCTGGTGTTCCTGTTCGCGTAAGTGGGAATACTATTTGTCGAAAAGGCATACTGGTGATGGGAGAATTTTGTGTTGATATCCATATTTGCGAGAGCGCAGTCCATAGTGGACATGCCGGGCGAGGAATGTAGAGTAAATAACAACAGGGACAAATCTTCATACGATGATTTTAATACCCAAAATAGAGTGAAGCAACAGAAGTATGATCCACAGAGGCGGCCAGCGAGACCTTATACGAGCAAGCAAAGCTACACTCAATCATCCCTTGGCTACCTGGCGGTCACAGAATACTAGATGTAGGGCATGCGTCTTTGCCCCCTTCCAGAGGGTCACCAAACACCCTGGAACATGAGTGAACTGTAAAGGGTCGCGACGCCTACCGTCCTTGCATTCCAGAGAGAGGTGAGATCGAACAGCCGCGATGATTATTGGCTCTAAGCCTCGATATGCGCCACCTGCAGGAGCGTCACAACGTGGAGGATCCGCTCTTCAGGGCCATTGCAGTTCGTCATTACGGAAGGAATGAGACAAGCCGCGGCAGGGAAGCAGTGAAAGCCCCTAAAGCGACTCGAACAGGACGTCACGGGCCTATCTTAAGCAGGACTGTTGCACCGGGCAATCAAAATCGGAGCCCCTAGAATGACCCCCTTGCTTCGGTTGCTGTGGGTGCGGTGATTTGCTCCATTATTGGAGGTGGCCGCAATAACCAGCATGTGCAAAGCCTCCAATGGTCGATCTGTAAATGCGGAGATTTCAAGTGTCAATATTAAGATGCCACAAATGCCAGCCGGAGGCGCGCGATGCCTTCTTGAAATATGAGTTTCTTGCTACGATTAGCCCCAACGCTCAGTCTGCTACATCTGCTGTGGATGAGGGCCATGTTTCATGTTGGCGAAGGAGTAGACCGCGTATATCAGGGATCAAACCCAGGGAGGTCTCTTAGAAGGGAGACCAGGGATTCCTAAAGGAACAACTCAATGTGATTCCCTTAACAGTCCAGGAAAGACGCAGGGAAAAGTACTCCGGAAGGAGAGGATAGAATGGAATAGTAAGTCGATAGTTCATCTCCCTTTTTGGGGCGATCAATCACCTCCGAGACAAACAGTGCAAACTTCCACCTTTATCGCTGCTTTTATCGCCGATCCAAAGAAGAAAAAAAAAATGTAGAGCGGGAAAAAGTACAGGAACATTGCCCTTTTCTCCACCCCTTTTGACTCGAATCGTCTTTCTTTGCCCTTCGACAGCTCTCCTCATGCTATCGGAGTGCTTTATCGCGGCTACCCTGACGTCAGGCAAAGCCCCGGCGTCAGCGAGTCTCCGCGATGTAGGGATCTGCGTTCATGAGTTTCAACCGTCACCCAACCTACGCTCCACCTTCAAGAAGAGCTCGACTCCGGCCAATTGTCTGGCCGTGAGCCCGTCACATGTGTACGCAGCTCAGGCAGAGAAAGCCATTGTTCATGTGTACAGCAGAGAAAAGGGCAATCAAGAGGCGGTTATTCCCTTCCCGGAGCGCATTCGTAGCCTTGCGATTGCGGGGAGCAAGAATGGCGACGTCTTGGTTTTGGGTACCGAAGGGGGCCGTCTGATCCTATGGGAAGTGAGTTTAACTTAAATCTACTGCATCGCTATTCGGGGAAGAAGCGATTGGTCAAGCAAGTCTAACATGAGCTCTATTAATAGACTTGCACTGGACGTCAAGTCGCGACGACAGCATCCCATTTGAGCCCAGTAACCGCCCTGATCGTTGACCCCAGTGACAACTTCATTCTATCCGGCTCGTCCGATGCCAGTATTCATGTCTGGTCTTTAGTCGACATCCTTTCTTTCACAAAGCTCCCGTCCGGTCGCGATCGGCGGCCACCAAACTCCCCCATCCGTACATTCTCGAATCACCGCGCTGCTATCACATCACTCGCCGTGGGACATAGCTCCGGTAGATACAATATCGCCGTTTCGACAGCGCAGGATAATACAGCCATCGCTTGGGACTATCACACCGGACGCGTCCTACGGACGTTCCTCCTGCCTTCCAGCGCTGTCTCTCTGGTCCTTGATCCAGTTGACCGCGCATTCTACGTCGGCTATGAAGATGGCAGCATCCAATCAGTGGATTTATACAAAACCCAATCCTTCCAACATCCTCTCCATGACTCATCGTTACAATCTACCCCTGCCCAACCCTCCGCGGAAGAGAAATGGTCCCCACCGTCCGCCGATTGCGGCGCCGCGCAGTCCCTCTCACTTTCTTACGATGGAATGACCCTGCTATCTGGCCACCAGAACGGAAAAGTCCTCTCATGGAACGTCGGAAGAAAGAAATACGCCACGACCATAGCCGACTACACACACCCCGTGACGAACCTTCATATGCTCCCATTGGCTGGTCTTCCCACTCCCGGCCATGATCTGAAAAGGGTAGCACACACAATCGTCAAGCCGCGATATGACAGTAGCCTGTCAGAATCATCTCAAGCTGCAGGCGCCGTACCTGCCGATTACACCTTCAGTACCCACCTCCTCAACTCAACATCATCCAAGCCCGCCACAGCAAAGAACCTCGATCGCTCCGAGCGAACAAACCAGTTCACAGAAGCTTTCACTCAAGCCGTCTTTCCCGAATCAATGATCGAAGAAGGTCTCGCCGAGCTAGCTGCCTTTAACCAACCGGGAGGCAGCACTGCCCAAGGCTCGCTCATGATGACACAAGCCACGAATTACGAGGACCTCGCAGCAAAGGATTCACAGATAGCGTCCCTAGAAAACGAGCTTGCAACCCTCAAAAAGAAAACAACAGCCAACGAGGCTGCCCGTCAACTCACCACAGACGAGGTAACAAAGCTCCGCTCCGACCTCGCCAATCTAAACGACTACGTCAACGGACTTCACCAGAAACAAGACCAAGCACAGAGAGAAAAGGTCCTTCGGCAAGCCCGGAAAGAAGAACGCGAAACCCGCAAACGGGAAGCTTGGTTTGCGGCTGAGAAGAAGGGAAAGAAAGGCGATGCCGTCGTTCGAAGAATAGAAGCCGAGGAAGCTATGCAGACCAGTGACTCGGACGATCAGAGCAGCGATGAGTGATTATTCTTTCCTCTTTCCTGTACTCTGTCGCTTTGCATTCTTCTCCTTCCTGTCATAATCCTTTCCATACACTGTGCGCGGCCCTGTCATGTCTAATTTATTTTGATTTACGAAGGCGCTATGGTTCAAAAGTTCAGGTTCAACTTGATAGATGGTGAGAGGCTCGTTAGGTTATACTTTGTATGTACGCATTGTATATATGAATGACTGATGCTACAAATGCTATACTGTGGCGCTTATCCTACCTTCTATTGTTTCGTCGAAAAGAGGTAACTGTTAAATGGACAATCCAACAACGACATGCCTTTGAATGGAATGTAGTGCCTTTAATTTCCAGCATACGCTATACTAAGTCAACCAATTTCTCAGATTCCCATTCCAGAAGCATGGCCAAAGATAGAAGAATAAAATGCGACACGACGGAATTCCAGATAACGTCGCGTCATCAGTCCACCAATGAAGTAAAAGGGTAAAATACCAATACGTACTCGGAAAGTCAACTGATCTGCTGGAGCAGTGCGCATTCTTTGCGTGACAAGATTGACAAGGCGCGTTTTTTGGGTGACAGGAGTGACAAGTCGCATTCTTGAGCGTTTGATCGTCGGTCAATGGCTTGATGGCATACTTGATGGTGGCAAGAAAATGATCCCCATTGCTGGCCCAAACAGTCTTGCACATCCGTTCGGACGGTGCATAGCCCAGCAAAGGAATGAATCAAGAGAGATAGGGCGAAGCATGAACCTCACCTGGAATGTGCCAATACAACTCTACTTGTGGTTCGTCGAAGATCAGAAGCTACTCGATTTATACGATGGTCTCGGCCGATGGGTACCTTCCACTAAACCCCGAAGACTCGTCAGGCCCAGCCAAACAGCCTCTTCGGTGCGGATGGTTCTGCTCCCTTGACCAGGAAGAAGGTTGACCCAGTAATCGAAAAGCTTCCCGGCTTCGGTCGGGCTGATGTCCATGTCACAGAGCTGAGGGTCGTTGTGGATTGCTGATTCGATACCTGCTACACCACCGAACACAACAAGGAGATGCTTGTAATCTGGGGGGATTTTCCGCCGGTCATAATTATCATGCTCTTGTCGCTCTTCCTCTAGAACAGAATAGACTGGGACACCTCGCTCGGACGTTCCAAAGGAGAGGTCGTAGCCCCCGTCGAATGGACATTCAGTGAACACGGACGACAAAGATCGGCAGCGACGCACATAGTAGCCCCAATAGTACCCTGCTTCAGAACGAGGAGCAGACGGATGTACGGGTTGCGCATAGTGTTCGGGACCATGTTCGGAGAACCGAACGGTTACGCGGGCATATTCGGGCAGCTGGATGTCCGGGAGGACGACCTTCTTAGGAAGGCCGGTATCGACCACAGTAGCACTAAAATTAGTAGGGCTACTGGATGAATGGCGGCGGTTAGAATGATAGTTGCTCATCTGTGTACTATGCTTCCTCTGCCCGCCACCATCGGAACTAGATATCACAATTCCTTCACGGTATTCACACCATTCGTTAGCGCGAAGATGGTGCGGCATGTCGAGGCTAGGCAATAAGCCAGCTCCACGAAGATTTGGATGCATCGGAAAGAGATGTTTACGAAGATATGGCGGGGTCTCGAGGTATGAAAGTATATGAGCCAGAAAGTGCGATGGGTCTGAGTATGCGGTATACCGTTTGGCGCATGAGTCGTTACCGTTGAGTTCGTTACTCGTTTTGTCTATAGGGGACTCGTAGAAATCACGCTGGCTGTGGTACTCGTCGCGCAGACTATTCTCATCGTCATCAAACACCACTACCTCATCAACACAAAAGACGGCGAGAGCACGTGCGATGATACCGGCCAAAAGAGTCTTTTGCTCCACAGAATGAGCACTTCCAAGAGCCTCGTCAGTATCAGTTTTCTACTGTCGGTCCTAGTGGCAGAGAAACGAAACTAGTCACGCGACACAGTCTATACATACTTGGCCACAATGCTGCCTGGAATAGCGACAGTCAATGTATGCGATCGGCCGCCAGTTGGGGTAAAAACGGCGGTAGGCTTCGAGGTGAAGGCGTTACTCGAAAGGTCATTATGGTCAGGCTGACCGTGATCGTGAGAGGTCTTACGCTTCTGAGAAGACCAATTGGGGGTCAGTAACTGGCGCTAAGGGATGTGGAGTTGGAAGTCAGAAGAGTATATATACCTTGGGAACGTTCGGACGTCGCATCGTGGGCCGCGGGCGAGGGGACGAAGGGGGCTTTAGAGCAGACAATCACGGGAACTTGGGATAGTAATTGGTGTTCTGCATGGGATCACAAATATTTCACACAAAACCCCTTTGACTAATCGACAGGTCTGTTATTATGGACACCAAGATGCTTTGACCGATGAGGATGGTTCCTGATGACGTCGGTCTCCACCGCCTTATGGAACCTTTAGCGCCTGCCGCACTTTAATTTGTCTACCCTTTCATCATCCAGAAAGGGAGGTCTACAGGTTCAGGTACTACTACCAATCAGTTTCCGATTCACTTTGGATCATCAGGAACATGCCAAATTTGGTGATAGGCCACTATCACAATGCCTTCTAATATACGCCCTGCTGCGCTCCTTGCTCACCAGCTGCTTCTCCTTTCAATTCCTGCATGATCTTCACCCCGGAACTAGTGCCAATCCGCTCGGCTCCTGTTTTCAGCATGCGAATACAATCCTCTGCTGAGCGCACTCCTCCACTAGCCTTAACCTTACATCCACTACCTACCGAGCCCGCAGTGGCTCGCATGAGGGCCACGTTGTCAATGTTGGCACCGGGCCCATTGAATCCCGTGCTAGTCTTGATAAAATCAGCCCCAGCCACATCCGCAATGACCGACCCCGCAATAATCTCCTCCCGTGTAAGCTGCGAAGTCTCCAGGATGACCTTCAGTTTAATCGGCGACGGGGCTGCCTTCCGCACACCTAGTATATCTGTGTAGACATCTGTATACTTTCCTTCCTTCAACAGAGGGTATTTGAGAACCATATCCAGCTCGGCGGCTCCCTGCTCAACCGCATCCCGGGCTTCCTGCTCTTTTTCGGAGGTCTCATACATGCCCTCATGGAATCCCACAACGCAAGCTACCTTCACATCAGAACTTCCCTTGAGTCCCTGTACCGCGCGACGGACATGGTTTAGGCGGACGCAGACCGTCGCAAACTGGTATTGAAGAGCTTCGGCACACAGCTGGTCGATTTGCTGTTCCGTCGCAGTCAACGCCAACTGGGTGTGATCGATGGTACGATTAACTTGGGATGGTAATGGTGTCTTGTATTCAGGAAAAGTCTCCGGAAGCGAGTCCTTTGTAGTAGAAATCAGAGCAGCCCACTCTGCGTCGTCCTTTGGGATAGACATCTTGCTGTAAGGGTAACTGTCACAGGTTAGGCAGATGCGCGCTGTCAAATATTATCGCGAACTCAACCAACCTAAGGCTTAGACTCTATTCCAAATGTTTAAATGGTTTTAAGGCACGTTTGAATTGGTCGTGAATTTCTGGGAACAGCGAATTTCTCTCTCGTAAATGCGGAGAAATGCCGTCACGTGATGATATATCAATCAACATCACATGAAGAGCTACCGCAGCGTATGCTCGCGCAAGTCATTAGAAAATGGTTGTTTCCAGATTTCAATCAGAAACACTACCAATGTAGAGCGCTCACCCTATCGATAATAAAGCAAAGGATATAGTAACCGGCATAGTAACAATCCAACCCAAAACCACGATTGCCCATCGCGCCATGCGCAACACTCCTTTATGAACCTTCAAGAACACCAAAACCCCACTGTTTACACTCAGCGGCAACTCTTGCATTCTGGTCCTCGAACATCATCGACGCGCCCAATCCTCCTAGGTCCAAATCCACCGGGTCCGCCGCCTCCGCCGCCTCCGGAGCCGGATCCACCACTGCCTCCCCAGCGAGCCCTTGTATTTGGGTGATTCTGGGAACGATTGACATTGAATTGCGAGTTCTGCGCCGCCGTGTACGGGTCAAGCTGCGAATCATGTCAGTATGATATAGGCAACTATGATGGTGGCGGGACAGAAGCAAGTCGCTGAACAGCGTGGAAAGTTGCGGGTGGTGTGGTGACTAAAGGAAATAATTCATCACGTACCGAGAAAAGGCTCACGAAATAAAGGCCGAAGAAGAGATAAATGTTCTCGATAAGGCGGTTGATGCGAACCCAGAGGGGCGGGCTGAGATAAGGTAACAGTCAGTGAGTGGCCACCCAACATCCAAAGCGCAGAGTGGCTGTCTCCATACCTTCCGAGAACCTGTCCATTAGACAGATAGGTTTGAGGTTTTGACGACATGATGCAGTAGCGACCAGACAGTGTTGGTTTTGTTAATGACGGTAAAGCGTGGTGGTAAGTGGCATTCATGAGATGGGGATTGGCGTGCTTTATCTTAGCGCCGGAACTCGTGATTTAGGTTCCACTTCAAGTCAAAGGTTTCCATATCGGGTAATTTAACTAATGACCGTCTGAGGTCCCGTCAAAGCCAGGCAGAGATAACAGTCTTACCTAGACATATTAAAACTCAGCATCTCGCATTTAACGTGTCTTACGAACATGCTACTACGTAGACTGAGAAGTTAGCTATGTACCTAATGATATCTTACGCTAGCTACTGTTCTATCTACTCCACGATACCTAGAATATATATAGAAAATCGAACGACGATAATAGCAAGCAACATCCCTCTTTGAAATCTAGTACATATGGGTATCTATCTCTATATACAACTCCAGAGCTCCAGTGCCTTCCCGCGACATCGTCAGCCATAAAACGTCATTAGAAATGGGGCCTTGATTAATCATGTTTCTGGTCGTTCTCGGGGACTATCTCATTCCGCAGATCGTCCAAACCACGGAAACCTTCTTCAACAGTCCACTTCTCGTCCTTACGAGGATGTAAGATGTGGCAGCTAGCCCCAACGACTAACAATCCAGGTGGCCGTGAGCCCTCAGCTTCAAATGCAAGGCACACATTTTCTAGAGTAGAACGGATCACTCGCTGATCAGTGCAGGAAGCCCGCTCAATAATCGCGCACGGAGTATCCTTGGGCCAAGGGGTTCGTGGGCGCGAACCTTCCTGGGGTAGGGCAGTCAACGACTCCACTAGCGCCGATAGTCGGTGCAATGCCATCAAAAAGACCACTGTTTGAGTGGGAACGTAGGTAGGAGGCTCGGGAGCTGCACCCTTTCTTCCTGTGCCAGTGCAGATCAGGACCTGGTCGGACACACCCCGATGAGTTGCTGGTATCTCTGCGAACAATGAAGCGCTCAGAGCGCTAGTAATTCCGGGCAAGACAATTGGAGTATACCCTTCACCACGGAAGAATTCAAACTCCTCACCTCCTCTTCCGTACAAATACGGGTCTCCCTGCTTTAACCGAAGAACATACCGTCCCCGACGCAGTGAGTCCAGTCCCATTTGCAGAAATTCCTCTTGCGCCTTATCCGCATTCCCAGGGAACTTTCGTGCAATATGAACTTCTGTTCTCCGCGGAATTAGTTTTAAAACAGGCTCTGGAACCAATTTATCCGCGAGAATGATGTCTGCATTCTGAATCGCATTGTACGTTGCTCGCGTGAGCATGTCTGGATGTCCAGGGCCCGAACCTGCCAAAACAATTTTCCCTTTCTTTTGTAGGTGACCCACCCCAT